ACGTTAAAGCAAAATCTAAAATAGTTTTACCTTCTTCATTAGTTACTCCAAAACCGTAGCCACCATGAATATTTCTGAAATCTTCTACCACTCTACCGACATGTCCATTTAAATCTCCTCCAATAAAAATTCTTTCTTCAAGAAGTATCATTCGTATTAAGTCTTCTAAGTCATTCCAAAATTTATCTTTAGACTCTGTATCTAAACCTACTTCAGGAGCATAAGCACTTATAATATTAAAAATCTTAGTATCAATGATAATCTTAAGTGCTATAATTCTATCTCCAACTCTAGTAATTTTTACAACATTATCTTTCAAACTCTTATCTATAATTACACCTACACCATTTCTAGTGCGACTCTTACCAGAATACCAAAGTTTAAAACATAAATTATCAATCTCCTTTGCTTTTTCTCCCACCCACTTAGTTTCTTGAATACATAAGATATTAATTTTCCTATGAATCATAATATCAACTAATTTCAACAAGCCAAACCTATTTGGTTATAAGCCATTTCAGACCTATTTTAACCCATTATTATTATTTTATTATGTATATATATATATATATATATATAGTAGCTTGTAAATAGAAGAAGTCTAGTAGTTTATTTGTACATGTTGTATGGCTCTACATAAGCCAATATGTTAATGAAATGAAAAGTTTTTTTTTGGTGCAATTCTTACGTTATGGTATCAGAGCTGTAACCTAGGAACCTCAGAGCTTCGTCGTTACCTTCTTCCCAGCAAACTCTAGTCGTAGAGTTGGGTTGTGTCGCTGCCTTCCCAGCACACTCTGGTCACATCACAACCTTCCCAGCAAAGCTGATCGCGACTGTATCGCAGAGTTCTATCACAAAGTGTGGCATCGTTAGTCACATCATCTCCGAGGGCTGAGAGGAGCGACAATGTTTTGTGATAGAGTGGAGTTGATCACGAGACTTCAAAAGGATAGGAGGAAGAGTGGCTTGAACAAAGTGAAATCGAGCGAGTGGCTCTACTGTGTGAGTGAGATCGACCAGGGAGAGCGGTTCGTGCGACTGTCGTGTGTGGAGGCTTTGGTGTATATTTAACCTACCGGTGGCGGAAGCTTCGACGGACTGAAGGTCGTATCCGCGTCCTCCAGGAGGGGCTTCGCAAGCTCGTCGAGGATGAGGCCGCTGCTACTAACTTCGAAAGCGGTGCAGTTGCTGATCCTCAATCAGCAACTGCAAAGTCGATTCCAACGCAGACGAAGGTGGATGATAAGCCAAGTTAGTGAATATGAAGAGGTCTTGTTTTGGGATTGCAATTATCCAAGCGGCTTGATAGTTCTCACATCTGACGAAGAGATTTACCTGATTTTCGGATGCAACAGGTCAGCACTTGAAGGGCTTCAAATTCCACCATTTTTGATAAAACTATGGAGAAAGAGAGTTTCGAGTCTCTGTACATTGCAAACCACCAAACCACTGGATCGCGAGGGCAGAAGAGGGTTCCTGCAATATTAGCTGCAACTTGGGAGTGAGGAAGGTAGCGGAGCAGTGCATTCAATTCTGGAGTTGCAGTCTACGACATGGAGGCGAAGAAACTAAGCGGTTGTGGTTTTCTGGTAGAAGAGTTAAAGAAGGGGCGTGAGACTTCCGTGGCTCTTGGGTCGTGTGAAGGATTTGTCACGGCAAGGAAGAGCAATGAGGAATTGACTGCATCGAGCTCAAGTATGACAAGGGCTTAAGGGAAGACCCATAGGTGCTACAACTGTGGAGAAGTGCGAACCTGAGTAAGGCTTGTCCAAAAGTCACCCAAGGAGAGAGTGATGGGTGGACGTGTATCGTCTAGAGGGGGCTACCAGACAAGTTTGATGGTAGTAAAGAACGAGGGAAAGACAAGAGTAGTCTTTACCTATGAGGATCACAAGTTACTAGAAATGTTGAAGATGAAGCAGATAGCGGCATGTAATGTCACTGAGAGTGCATCCACCCTTTCTTAATCCAAGGGGAACATTGTTAGTTATGCTCACTCGGCCAAAGATGCTCGTGATACACATGCCCTTGTCTCTATATCCACCACAAGTTCACCAAAATGGATAGTAGATTCTGGTGCATCTCGATATGTGACAGGTACCACTGGTGAGTTCTCTTTTCAAAGAGAATTCAAACCGCAGATGGGACAACACAACATGTGGTTGGTAAAAGTACAGTGAGATGTATCAATTCAATGACTTTGTCCAATATTTTGCACACTCCTTCCTATCTAATGAACATTTTATTCATTAGTGTCATTATACTCTAACTAAAATGTGTTGTTTCATTTTATATTCCAAAGGTAATATTTCAAAAGAAGAGGACTGACCGAAAATTTAGGACAGTCAAAAGGCATAGTGAACTCTGGTACTTTCATAGAGAGGTGATGGACTCAGTCTTGGCAGCATGGTTGAGAATGCTAGAGCAGGAGGATCTAAGGAGAGTGTGGTGGATGTATTGGTGCTATATCACAAGCGCACGAGACACTCTTCATTTTGTCTATTGAGTTGTTTGCATCCATCAATGTATGAAAGACAAATAAACAAAAACTTGTGTGTGATACGAGTTTGGCAAACATACCGGGAGCTCGTATGTTAGTTATGGTAGGAGTTATTATATTTTTTTTATTTGGTGCATTTAGATGTATGAGGGCATTGTTCTACAACTTTGATGAATGATTACAAATATTTTGTGACTTTATTGACTGTTTTTCTCGTGTTACTGTTATATCTGATGAGAAATAAAACTAATGTGTTTGTCTGTTTTAAAAACTTTCACAGGGCGATTCAGACTCAATACAGTGTTGTGGTGAAGGTATTGAGATATGATAATGAGACAGAGTATACCGACAAAATGTTTGGGGAATACCTGTCAGCCCAAGAGATACAACATCAAATCATTTATTTATACACATCGACAAAACAGAGTGGCATAAAGAAAAAATAGACAAATTCTAGAAGTAGCACGAAGCGTGATGATCATAGTGAATGTCCCAAAACAGTTATGGGGTAAGCAGTTTTGACAACAGTTAAATTGATCAACATAATACCCTCGAGAGTGTCAGATTGGAAGTCTCAGTGACAGATGTTGAAAGACGATAATAGTGAGATCTTTCCATTGAAGGTATTTGGGTGTGTATATGTTTTGTGAAAGACAAAAGGCCATTGTAGGGAAGTTGGATCCTAGAGTTGTAAAATGTGTGTTCGTGGGATATTCTGCTACACAGAAGAGTTGTATGTTGGAGCCCAATTAAGTGGAGATTTTTTGTGAGTATGGATATGTCAATTAGAGAGTTTGAACCATACTATACTCTAGAGGTCAATTCACCCTTTGGTGACTCAACAACCACTGGAGATACGAGGCAAGAGGAGTGTGTAGTAGTAGTGATGGAGTGGTGAAAATGAGAGAAATGCTATGTCCAGTGATGTGGGATGAATCAACTGAGGAGATGGAAATCGAGAAGATTGACCCCAGTAGTGGTGGGATTCAGATTGAAGGTGAGCTAAGGGTCTATACACGAATGAAGAAGTAAATTGAGGAAATATATTCTGCAGTGCCAACAAGTCAATTATCATGGTCTTCCTCAACTCTTGAAACACCTACACCATATATCTTTGATTCAAAACTCGCAGGTGAAATTATTCCTCCATCCACTCCTACCCCTCAACGTTAAGGAGAACCTCCAGCAACAATGCGGAACATCTTCCTGATCATTTTGAGTGGGAACTTAATATTGTCAATTTTGTTTCTTATTCTAACATTTCACCTTTGCATGAAGCATCCATTGCATCATTGGACTCTGTCTCTGTACCCACTCTATCTCTGTACCTAAGTATTGATAGATTGCTAAAGAGTATCCCAAGTAGAAAGCGGAGATTCATGACAAGCTTGGAACTCTTGACAAAAAATGATTATGAGAGATTGTACCGCTACCAACAAAGAAGAAGACAGTAGGATGAAAGTGGATCTTCAATGTAAAAAAAACTCCCAAAGGGAATGTGAAAAGATACAAGGCACGAGTAGTAGCAAAAAGGTACAGTGACACGTATGACATTTATTACGATGAAACTTTTGCACCAGAAACAAAGATGAGCACAGTGACGACACTAAGTTCTCAGGTAGTGAATGGTGGATGTAGACTCCACCAACTGGATATGAAGAATGTTTTCTTCATGAGGGGCTATTAGAGGAGATATATATGAAGATACCACCAAGATTCAGTACATCCCAGACAGTGGGCAAAGTGTGTAGGCTCAAGAAGTCACCATGTGACTTAAAGCGGTCACCTCGAGCCTGGTTTGACAAGTTTAGAATGACGATGGTTGACATAGGATGTCGACAGATCAATGCATTTCACACGATATTCTTTCGGCAACATAAATGTCGCACTATCATACTTGTTATGTTTGTAGATGACATAATTAACACTTGTGATGATGAGATAGAGATCCCTCAACTAAAGTGAAGATTGGAGAAGCAATTTGAGGTAAAGGATCTGAGACGACGCAGATAATTTCTTGGGATTGAAGTAGCCCTTGAACCTAAGGAGATGGTCCTGTCCCAGAGAAAGTGTGTATTGAATTTTCTTATGGAGACAAGTATGCGGGGGTGCAAACTTGATGTCTCTCCAATTGATCAAGAGGTCAAGCTTAGTACAGATCAGTTGATTGTAAGAGGTAACAAAGGCTGGTGGGTCACCTGATCTATCTGTGCCATACTATACCTGATATTTCTTTTTAGTAAGTGTGGTGAGCCGCTACATGCATGATTCAAGGAAAGGTCATGGATTCAGTGTATCAGACTCTGGGGTATCTGAAAAGTGCATCAGAAAAATGATTGATATTCAGAAAGAATGAACATGTAGATATTGAGGACATTTGTGATTCTGACTAGACAAATTGTGTTGATGATAGTTGATCCACATCAGAATACTGCATGTTTGTAAGTGGCAACTTGATTCCTTGGAAGAGCAAGAAACATTCATTTGTCGCAACATCAAAAATAGAGGCAGAATACAGGGTCATGGTATTCAGAGTTGCTGAGATGATGTGGCTAAAAACCGAGTTGCTAAGATGATGTGGCTGAAAACGTTGTTGTTGAACTCAAAGTGGATCAGGGAACTCAAATGAAGTTGTGGTGTGACAACAAGTCGACAATCAACATTGCTAACAACCCGGTGCAAGACGATAGAACCAAACATGTGGAGATCGATAGATTCTTCATCAAAGAGAAGCAGAATAACAGATCGTTAGAACTATGTCATGTAGTTACTGGATAGCAGGTGGCTGACTGCCACACTAAAAGACTTTGCTCAGTGGAGTTAACTAGATTATGTGACAAGATGGGCATAATAAATATCTTTCGCCCACCTTGAGGGGGAGTGTTGAGACTTGTATCTAATGAAGGGTTTTATTTGTAAATAAAAGAAGTTTAAAGCTTTATTTGTAAATATTTTATGGCTCTATATAAGCCAAGATGTTAATAAATGAAAACTTTTTTTTGTGTGATTATTACAATACATGCATATATATATATATATATATATATATATATATATATATAAGAATGGTCAGAGGCTATGATACGAGCCCCCAGCCACCCTCATGTGCCTACCACTAGATCCCGCGCTGCAAGGCAGATACACTTACGTGGGTTCGAACCCGAGACCCCAGAGGACTTAAAACTGACTTTGCAGATGTCAACAAAAGAGTCACGGTAAGCGGATCAAGCATATACATTTCCATCTTATCCAAGATCATCATAATTCAAGTCAATTCAATCCAAAAGTCAATCCAATTTTCCATTGATTTTTAATCTTCAAAACAAATTCATAGTCCTAATTATCACTAGCCTAACCCCTACAAAATTGTCGAAGTTTAATGAATCCTCCTTCTGTCATTCACAGTTTTGCAAGGAATTTTTACTAAGCTATCATAAATTATTTTGCAGAACTTCTCGATACAACTCTCATGTACGTTGCCAAGTTTTTTAAAACACTTTTTTTTTCTACCTTAACCTTTAAAAGATACTTCTAGGGATATACATGAGTCGAGTCGAGCTCGAGTCACCCTCAACGTGAGCTTGATTAATTAATTGAGCTCGAGCTTGAGTTTAATTCTACAAATTTGAGTTGACTCAAGAGCTGATTTATTTATTATGAAAGAAAGAAATCAATAATAATTTAAGTTATTGTTAAAATAAAATTACAAATAAAGTAAGCAATTAGAAGATGATAAGAAATCACTTGAAATGAGATATAAAATATCATTTTTTTAATATTAGTAATCTTTTAAAGATAAAATCTTAAATTTTAATATATCTTGAGTATATTTTATATTTAATATATTTTAAATGAGCTGGCTCACAAACTAATGAGTCGAATCATGGTTGACTTGGCTTGTTAGCTGATCGAGCCCAACTCATGAGCCACTTATTTTTTTTGAGTCGAGCCAAAGCAGGCCCAGTTACACTCCTAGGTATTTCTCACATTCTCTAGCACTATTTTCCACTATATCCACCTAATTTTATCATAATATATCTTAGCATTCATATTTCTACTATTTATAACATGGAACTTAGCTATTAAAACATTTTACCTAATACAAAAATATATCCAAATCAAATTTTAAAAACATTTTACAAATCATCCTTAACATTGAAGTATATGCATCCTTATTTGTATTTATAACCTCCTTTTAGAGTATATTCAATATATCTCAAATTATCACACCAAGATAAAAATAAATCAATGAACATTATTGATTGATTATTGCTATAACTATCACCATTCCTTTTCAATCAAATAACCGTAAGTAACAAATTAATTGTTTGTTCAAGGTTCATTTAGCTTTAGCATCTTTTTTGTTTTTTGTTTTTTTTTTTTTTAAAAACATATTTCGTTGATATAATCTTCTTTTAAATAAATCACATATTTTTAAAAACACTCCAGAGATCTAAAAGATGTTTTAAATGTTTTTAAAAACAACTAGTTCAATCAAACATGTTCTAACGTAATTTTTTGCATGTTTTTATTTTTTTGTTTTAAAAAAACAAACCAGCTTGTTCTTAAAAATACTCAAAACATCTAAAAGTTATCTTGTATTTTTAAAACAATCAAACAATGCTATAATAGACAAAATATATTTTATTTCAATAAAAAAATAAAAAAAATAAAACAAAAATAAAAAATCAAAAGTGATAAAAATACACAATACAATGGAGAGCAGCAGAATCACTCACCAACCAAACTGAAAGTCAAATACCCTTTGTACAGCTTCAACATCTGCAGAGGTGTTTGAAAATGGGTAGCCCCAGAAAGAATAGAAGTTGAGGCCTATCTTGCCATCTTGCTTGCCCTACATAAAAATTTATAAATAATTTCTCTTCTAAGAATCCATAACAATAAACTTTTTTTAAGCATCAATAACAAAAAAAAAAGAAAACATTTTATTTTTTCAGATTTACATACAGACGTCAAGATTTATATATTTAGCACCTAAATTCACAATTAACATCATCTAGCACTCAGCTAACCCAATTGATGGATCTCATTGGATGCTCACAGGAGAGATCAGCTCGGATTAGATGAAAAGGCTGATTAGGACCAGGCGAAGAAGCCAACTATAATCAAAAGCTCATCGAACAACCCCACTGGATGAGGCCAACTATGATTAAGAAGAGACTAACTAGGATCGAAAAAGGCCGTACATAATCAGCAAAAGTCTAAACTAGGATCAAGTGCTTGTCGAATACTCGTTGGAAGAGACTGACTAAGATTGAATGAGAACCGAGGCGATGAGATTGAGGTTGTCGAACGACTTTGATGACAACTAGATCAAGGAGTTCGCTGCAAAAAAAAGTTATGGAGGGTATTATATTGTTTTAATTTTATGTTTATGATGCCAAGAATGTTAATAGTGAAGTTTAGATGTTAAATATATAAATCCTAATACTTTACATGAAATGCATGTAAGTCTTCCTTTTTTATATTAATTTAAACTCTTTATTTATATATTCTTCTTTTTAAATTTCCACAAAAACAAAAAACTTTCTAAGATATATAGATTACAATAAACTAGTAATTGTTTTCAGCATAAACTAGCAAGATTACACCAAATGCTTGGAAAAACTTGTAGAACTAATCTGCATATTTAATTCAATACAAATGAAAAAAAATAAACCTGATACTTCATCCTGTACAGCTTAACAACTTCAGCGTGAGCGATCAGCATATTGTGAACTGCGATGTATGGCTCAGTTATTGAATTTCCTGCTCTGCAATTTATCAAACCAAAGGGATGAGAACATCTTCCAGGAGCAAATATTCCTGAATCATATCCTGCTGATCCATAAACGTTAGGTTCTACTATGGTTGTCCAGCGTGAAACTTTGTCACCAAATTCCCTGAAACATAAATCTGCAAATTCCTTCAAATCATCCCTGCGATCATGTAAGTTCTGTCAGATTGACGTGTATGATAGAAATTTTAAAATGTTGATTGTCGTTTAACGAGTCCAAGACTTAAGAAATTTTAAATGGTTAGTGAAACTTACACGATCCTGCGGTCGAGCCATCCGCCGTACTCATCTTGAAGTATTTGGGGAAGATCCAAATGATGGAGACTAACATGAATCTTGATTCCTACAAATGATGAGTAAAACTCGTATAAACAAAGAATGGTATATGTTGTACTCTAGATATTGCAATAGCTAGCAAGTTCAATTAATATTTAATTTGCACGCCCAATATGACGACTCACCTAAACTTCAACATTCTAAACATAAAAGCAAATAAAAGACCTTTTTCAAATATCTCATGGATGACACTTTTGTAGTACTCCAAAGCTTTAGGATTAACGGTCCCCCTTCCATCTGTAGATGTAAAATAACCACAAAGTACTTGTTAATAGTTAAAATTTCAAAAAATTTTGAAAGAAAAAAAGAAATATAGATTAAAAGCCTCTGTTAAGTCATACATGGGAGAATCCTGGACCAGGAAATGGAGAACCTATAGGCCTCAAGCCCAGCATCAATCATAAGCTTGGCATCTTCCTAGAAAACAATACATGTGAATTTTACAAATGAAATAATTATCTCATGGATTGCAGATTTTGTAGAGAAGGACTTAACAAGGTTGTTTAGTTAAAATTTTTATTACCTTCTAATTTTTTTTAAATTATGATAACAAAACAAATCAGAATTGACCAAGATGCAGTTCGATTTTATGCAAAATGAGTGTAGTGTATTTGAAATGTAATAGTTTTAAAAATTGCAGTGTTCAAAGAATTCTTAAAATCATCCTATAGTTTAATTTTAGATAATCTAAACTCGGCGAATTTGGTTGAATTCCAAATACAACACAAGCTTTAGCAATTTTCGTAACCTATAATCAATTGCCGCCCACCACTCTCCCCACTATCAGTCACAGCTAGGAGTGTAAACGAACCGAACAGAGCTTGTGTTTGTGTTCAGTTAGTTTGAAATTTTGTTTGTTTGAAATAAGCTCGTGTTCAAAATTGTTCGTGAAGTCACTATTCGTGTTCTTTTCGGGTCCTTTTCTTAACGAAAGAGCCGAACACGAGCTGTTCACGAACGACAAGCCAACTTGACTTCCCTAATATTAATATATATAAATAATATATTATATTAATTATATAACTTATATTATATAAATATATAATATCTATATTAATATATTACTAATATAGTATATTAATATATTATTATTATTAATTTATTATATATTATAATCTATAAAATTTAATTTTTTAAAATATCATAAATTTTTTTATATATAGTTATTTTAAATTCTTTTATATTTCGAACAATAACGATTCAAACACAAACGAACGCATCATTGTTCGTGTTTGGTTCGTTTAACTAACCGAATGAAAAAAATTTGTTCACGTTCGTCTCGTTTACTTATCGAATACGAACTCATTGACGAACCGAACACGAATTGTTCGCGAACAACGAGCTTTTTTGACAGCCCTAGTCACAGCCAGCTGTTGTCCGCCACTCTTGGCCTCACATTGAATTAATTTCACTTCAAACAAAATACAAAAACATAATCTTACAAAATACACCATATTTCAAATACATGGTAATCATTTCCTTCACATTCTTCTTTCAACAAATTAAATGGCCTCTAAAAAGACAGAATTGCCTCGCCGAGAAGATCAACGAAATAATATCTAGTACGTCAAAATATGCCTCGTTATTCGACTAGTGTTTTTGGTCAAAAAAATTTATCATACATCTAGTAAAAGGTAGATCAACAATCAATGATTTTACCTTGTGCTTGTGGTACCCATCCGAAGTTATGTCCGCCGTGCTCTTGCCTGGTGTCATCCCTTCATTGTTAAACAACACAAAGTTGAAGTCAACAAAATGTCACTCCTAACATTAAACTACTATTGACTGAGATATCAATTTATTCTTCAAGCTTCCATCTTTAATAATGGATGAGATTTGTAAGCAATATTAAGCATAATTACTTCACTTTTTAATTTAAATATTCAACATATTCAATTAAAAAAAAACAGCCAGATCTGTCATTATTGCTCTGCAATGCTCTGCAAATATCTAAATTTCATCTTATTTAAAGAAAATCAATAGGAAACTAGTAGAAAATAAGGCACTTTCACCTTCATGAGCAAAGGTATCCCAAATGCTTGGTGTTCTTCCATCCTCTGCCACCGCACCCTCATACTATGCACACAAAGTATTAGATAAAAAAGTTAGATAATGATAGGTTTAACAAAGTTAACATAACGGGAAAGGGGTTTAATTGTTAATTTAATTAATCATCACTGCTTATTTGATTTAATATATTTTTATTTATTAAAGATAATTAAAAAATTTATTTTCTATATTCTCACCACATCTGATAGGGTTGTCAAAATGACTCTTTGTTCGTGAACGGCTCGTGTTCGGTTTGTTAAACAAATGAGCCGAACACAAACATACTTTTTAAGCTCGAAATATAAACGAGCCGCGTTAACACCCATACTCCCAACTTTATTGGTCCAAACAAAATTCCCACCGCAAAATCACGAACAAAGAGTCATTTTGACAACCCTAATCACATAGCCATAAGATGTTAAGTATTGGGGCAAGATTTAAAACATCATTTGAATTTTATTTAATAATTTTTATTCTATTTTTTTCATTAATAATTTTAATTGATTATAAATCTTTGTAGTCATGTAGTCAACTAAATTTTTAAAAAATACTACTCATCAAATATATAAATATATATATATATATATATAAAATTGATTAATAGTATTTCGAGCCAAAACGAGCTGAACACGAACGAACAAATATTGGTTCGTGTTCAGCTCGTTAACTTAGCGAACAAGCCGAATACGAGCTGTTCGCGAACAACGAGCCATTTTGACAGCCCTACAGGATATGAGGAATAAAGGTCAACGTCATATTGCCTAAAAGTCCTTAGGGCTCATAATTTTACTAAAATTTGAAACTTGATTATAATCACTCAAATTTAAATAGATTGAGTCGCCCGAAATTAGATTGATTCATGTATTTATATGACAAAACGCATAAATAGTATATACTATAATTCATAATATATCTTTTTTTTAAAAATATTATACAAATAAATATAATTTTGACATATAACGAAAATTAAATATAAAATTAAAAGAAACTTGAATTTCGACCAAAATCCACCAAATTTTAGTCAATTTGAACTTAATTCTAGTCGATCACAAAACATTAGATTGAAGTTGAAGTTAGCACTTTATGGAAACACAATACATCAGAAAAATATTGGTCACCTCGAATCTTTTTATGAGATAATGTGGAAAAATAATGTTAGGAAAACTACAATCTAACCTGCCAAGAAAATAAAATAAAAATAATAATTGATGTGTGTTGTGGCTGTAGAATAATGAATTATCGTCTAAGCATGCATAAAAATCCAACACATACTCAAGTAATTAAAAAGAAGTAAGCGGAGGAGAATCCTCAATTTTTACATGGAAACCAATAGAAAAGTGAAAATTTTATGAGATCTGACTCAGTTGAAATAGTTCATTATGTAATTTTTAATATATAGGTTCACACTTCTCCATAATTAAAGAAAATGAAGTTACAAAATTGATCATTATAAATGTACAACAGTTCATCGATAATAACCATAATTCGGTCCTAATGAATGAAGTTCACAATAATAGCAGACTACAAAGGCTGTAGTCGATTACTATAAAGACAGTAGCCTGTCGTGAATGTTTTAGATGATGATTGTATCGTCAAATTGTCGTATAAGTTGCAGTTGAAATTCATGATAGTAGTTGGCCCTGTGGGCCGCAGATGATTGCTTCAAGAGTGTCGATTGGTCCATAGTAGGAAGCTGCATGAGTTGTTAATCATGTATATTGTAGTTAGTCACATTGGTTGTAGTGATGAGTTACGATAAAGTCGGTAGGTCGCAGGGACTGAAGTTGAGAGTTGCACGAGATGTGTCATTTAGGTCGTAATTGGTCACGTTGGTCATACTGGTGAGGTGTGATGATATATGCGGGTCACACAGGTCAGGATTAGGAGTTGCATGAACTCTAGATCATATATGTCATAATTGATCACATAGATAGTAGTTGTGAGTTGTGATGACGTTCATAAGTCACATGGGTCGAAATCGAGAGTTGCACGAGTTGTGAGCCGCATAAGTCGTAGGTAATCAAAAAAGTCCTAGTGGTGAGATGTGATGACGTTTGTAGGCCGTAAGAGTCTGAGTCTGGAACTACAAGAATTGTTAGTCACGTAGATCGTAGTTAATCACGTAAGTCATAGTGGTGAGTTATGATAACATTTATAGGAAGCAAAAGCCGGAGTCGACAGCTGAACAAGTTGTGGACAAATAGGTCGTAAGGTGAGATGTGGTGATGTTTGTATGCTCTAGGAGTTCGAGTCGAGAGTTGCACGAGCTGCGCAATTTGTCATATAAGCAGTAGTGATGAGGTGTGATAACATCCGTAGGCCGCAGATGTCAGAGTCAGGAGCTATATGTGTTGTGGGCCACGTAGATTGTAATTGTTTATGTAAGACGTAGTGGTGGTCTGCAAGGTGAGAACTTTAGGAGTCCGAAAAAAGTCATCGTCATCATGGTGCATTATTACACCGTCTTCCAGAGTCATCGTTGCACTGTATGTGGGATGTGTTTTTCTATAGGATGTGTCGTCAACGCATGTCATGATTCCACAAGAGGTTTCATTACAACGAGTTAAGGGCGGTCGACTATGGTTGAAGGTGGCGTGCTGACGGTGGTTGATAGTGGTCGGTCGTTGCAAGAGTGGGAGAAATTCTTCAGATCTAAAATGCAAAAACAATGTTGGACTTCGGCTGTAAGCTTTAGTTTTCTTCTAGCTCAAGCTCATCCCCCATCTCAAGAGAGGGTAAGACTTTATTTATAAGGGTGAGGCTTTATTTATAAAGTGTGGGAGAAGCCTCTCTGCAAATAAGAAAGAATTTTGGATGATTCTATCAAACGGCCTAGAGAGATTTCCTCGATCAAACAATGTATGACGAACATTTTAGTGTCTTGATTATGTCTAAATTGAGTGATCTTGTGATCTTGCTGAGATTTTCAATAAATTACCTCTAGATTGAGAATTTATTGGCAGCTCATCATTTATAAATCCAACTCCATCTCTACAACTAAAAACAGAAGCCATCCCTCTCTCTCTCTCTCTCTCTCTCTCAATCACTGTTTGCTCGTCTTCTTCCCTTATTCCGTCAGTTATACATAAAGAAGTACGAAAAAGGGGAACTCCATTAATAAAAACCTGATAAGAAGAAGTGCCGGCGCCGAATACAAAATCCCCAGGAAAGTCATTTCTGGTAAATTTGCTGATGCAGATAACTTCTGTAGTAAAAAACGGAAGAACAAATAAGATCAGAAGAAGAGAAGACTGATAATACATCAGAAGAAATCTCTGAAAAGACTCCTCTAGCCGAACCCTAGAACCTTACAATATATCAAATCGGCTTTCGTCGCTACGGACAAAACCCTAACCACAATGTCGTCCTTGACTACCGCTCCGATATTTCCCATTTCGACGTTGGCGGCGATAAGACGAGTAGATATTATGTGAGGTCAATTTATCTTTTAATCATTATAGAAATTATTGTCTTTGACGTGAGGTCGTGTCCGGACTCCGAACACAATATTTTTTCCAATGATTGAATGTATTATGGAGCTATTTTGGTGATATTAAGTATTTGTTTGACCGCATAGCTCTCCTCCTTTCCATCCATCGTGAAAAATGCAGGGAGAAGTCGGGAAATTGTTTGGCCAATGAGCTTCAAAACAAGTGTCTCTATCAAAATGGCGGAATTCGCCATTTCAGATCCTGAGGAGGTCCCTCTGTTCTGGTGTTCTGGATCGCACCCTTCATTTCAGTGCTCCACCTTGCCATTGAAAGAAATCTTTATCGAAACATCCATGATGTTTTAACGATTGAAGCATTTCAATGAAGTTTTCCTACCCGTAGCTTTTAAACCAATTTTTTTAAGAGCAACGTCGGCTCAAATGAGGCTTAAATATAATAATGTATCATTATAATACTATCACAATATCATCACATTATGGTGTCTGCACGTAATAATTTTTGCAAGTTTAATCTCTTTCGACGATAAAAGAGCTTATTTTCTTTAAATTTTATTTATTAGCTATGTTTGAAATTACTTTTAAATAATATATTTTGTAATTTTGAATTTGAATGATTGCAATTTACAATAATAAATTCAATATAATTTTGCAGTAGATAATTCAACCACTATAAAACATATTTACATAATTCAATTATTTTTAACTTCTACAAAGTGAAATACATCATGAACAAGATAATATATATATATATATATATATATATATATATGTAAAAATTAAAATTTAGAGGTTAGATATGTAAATCTCTCCTTTTTTAATAAATACATCACCGATAACCTATCACAAATCATAAGCATATTAGGAGCCGTGAAAATTCAAATAAATTTATTTATGATTGGCTTGGCCAATGAGGCTCGGATAGCTAATTTGGTCCAAGGGTCCATTTGATCGCGGCATAATTACCATATTTTAAAAAATTATAAAAGTTATTAAATTTTTTTTAGTTAAGTACAACATAATTAGGACTCTGAAATTTTAAACACCTCGAATGTTTTAAATATTATAAATATTTTTACGTCAGCGTATAAAATAAGTGATGTGCAAAGCTGAGAGTTGCATCAGATAATCGGTGGCCAGCATAAAATTTTTTTGGGTTCATGTCGAACTAAGAGGTTCGACAATGAAGTATAAAGAGTGTGAGGATGATCGAAGTATGGTTTTTGTTGATTTAGAAAAAGCTTATCATAAGGTTTCGAGAGAAGTGCTTCAGAGAGTTCTGGAAAAGAGAATTGTAGATATTGTTTATATTCGAGTCATTAAAGATATATATACTGGAGTTGTTACTTGCGTCAAAACACAATTAAGATTGACCCAATATTTTACTATTTCAATTGGTTTAAATTAGGGATCAGTTTTAAGCCCTTATCTTTTTTGCTTTAGTTATGGATGTTCTTGCTGGACACTTGCAGGATGATGTAATATGGTGTATGTTTTTTTTCATTTCAATAGATCTAAAACTGAATACATCGAATGTAGTTTTATTAGTAGTAACGATCAAGTTATCAATAGGACTAAACAGATTAGATATCTCGGGTATATTTTTCGAAGTGATGGTGATATATGCGGCAATGTTGTTGGCAGTATTCAAGTTGAATGGTTGAAGTGGAAAATGCATCGGGTCTATTGTGCGATCTAAAAGTACAACTTAAAACTTAAAAGAGAAATATTATAAGATGGTAGTGAGACCTTCAAAGCATTATGGTGCATAATGTTGTTTTCTCATAAATATATTTTGGTGGCTTGTTGGTTCGCAGCTTCAGCGTAAGTCCTCCCTGTCTCGGGTTTGAGCCCATATGAGTCGAATTAGCACATATATGGGGTGAACAGACACATGTTATGGTCAATTTCTTGCAATATATTATGTACCAAACTCAAATAATCTAATCAAACGTTATTAAGAAATCACAATGCAAGCTGAAATATTAAATTATTGCAAAGCAATTACCAAACTTCTCCAACAAAACATCATGAAAATACATTTGTTATTGCAACTTTACCTAAATCCTTTCTGCCAAGCTAAATTACATTCTTATACTCATATGATGAATAAATTACAAGACAAGAATCTTATTTTGAGCACAATTCAAGCCACAAGGCCCTTGAACTTTTTGCTTAAACCTATTAGGAAAAATAATTGTAGGGGCATTTACATATATACCGCTCAATTCTTATGTATTTACAAAAATGAAAGATCATTTGCCCGTATAAAGCACAATATTACCTACAATCCAAAGAGCCTAATACAAAAAAAATGAAGATTTACATACATGCCACCTAATTCCTACGTATTTAGCCGAGCCTGAGCGAGTAGCTCAGGCTTGGCTCGTATTCGACTCATTCGAGATTAGCTCGTATTCAAAATTGCTTCTGACAATGTGTTCAGTTTGACTCGATTTAAATATTCGTGTTCGTGTTCGACTCGAAATTGGTTCGTCAAACTAAAATTTTGAAAAATAGATGTAAAGTGTGAGATTCGAACCTGGATCAAATTTATACAAAAAAAGACATTAACCACATTGTCACATGAGGTGTTATGATTTAAACTTAGACTTAAATATGTATAATATATTATTATATAAATAATATATGTAATATATTATTATATAAAAAGTTATATAATTTTTTTTTTTGCCATTTCGGTTCGTGTTCGGCTCGTTTACATTTCGAGCTTAAAAATTTGTTCGACCTTACCCAAGCATTAAAAAGATATATTTCACATTTTAAAAGTCAAAATACTAGTACTTTTTATGTGATACGAAAGATTTGGGTGCTATAAATGTAAAAAGTAAAATTCAGGTGTCAGATATATAAACATACAAGAATTGGGTGGTATTCACAAGACAACCCTAAGAACTCACCTGAACTGCACCAAAAGCCTCCACAGCCCCCCAGAAAAACTTCTTATTTGCAACTATACCCTCCTGCTCCATTCTCTTCATCAACTTATCAACCAATTCCCTTATATTAGCCTTACTGTATGCCTTATAAAGCAGCCTATATGTTGAAGACTTCAGAACAAAGCCTCTCTTATCAGCAACCTCTAATAGCTTATCTGCTTCAAAAGGCAAACCATTCATACAATAAACATCAAGCATAGCATTCAGAGTAGAGACCTCCATCTCCTTCTCCTTCCCCATAACCTCATCAAATATTTCTCGAGCACTCGAAACACAGTCGCAATAACCATACGCCATCATCAAACATTCGTATGTCACATAGCTCGGCTTGAAGCCCAACTCACCCATCTTTCTGAAAACTGACTCAGCCTTCTCCTTCAACCTCGCCTTCCCGTAATTCGATATCATCGAATTGAAGGTCGGAAGAGTCGGCTTTGCCTTCGATCGCAAAAGACTCTTAAACACTTGTTCCATCTTGTCGAACACTTGTTTCCTCCCATATGAATCGATGAGGATGTTGTATGTTATGGTGTCTGGCTTGCACTGATTGCTCTTCATTCGACGAAGAACCATTTCCATTTCTCGCAGCATTCCATTCTTGCCGAATGCATCCATGATGCCGTTGTAGGTGTAAATGTCGGGAGATATGATAGTTGAATCGAGGTCATTGAAGATGGCATCAACCTGCTTCAGATCTCCGGAGCGAGCGAAAGCTCTTAGAAGGATATTGTATGTTACTATGTTTGGTTGGCACCTATCGGACAAGCCTTTCATCTTCTCAAAATAGGCGTAGGCTTTGCTCAGAGCTTTCGATTTGTCACGCGAATGGAGATGAGCGGCGATGAGTGAGTTGTAGACTGAGGTGTCAGGTTTGCAGCCGCTGTTTCGCATTTCAGTGAAGAGCCACATTGCCATTCTTGTCTGGCCCTTCTTCCCCATGATTGATATGAGTTTGGAGTAGATGCCATTGTCTGCAATGTACCATCTTTGTTTTTGCATCCATCTGAAAACCTGAAGAACAGTTTGTTTAGAGAGTATAAAGCTGCAAAATAAGGTCTTATCATGTATGATGTTGAAAATTAGGAATCACAAGCATAGAAATTGTTGAATCCTTTTAGGAAGTCAGGTCCATAGCTTGGGAGAGACCTATAAAATGGAAGGTGTGTTTCAGGCCTAAGTTAAGAACTCTCCTGATGGACCTCCTCCAGCGAAGCGGAGAAGATGATCTAACAAAGGAGAAAGAAGCAAGGAAAAAAGGCCTAAAAAAGGGCCTCTTCTGGATCCCCATCTATCCCTCTTTATACATGTTTTTCCAGAAAAAGCATAAAATATGAGCCACTCTGTCTGCCTAAAGTCTGACCACGGTGACTTAATGAAAAGACAACGACATGAATGTCAGCCAACTCATAAATGAGGATGTGACATTCATTCATCTCAAATGTCAGTCTTGTCTTTCACGTTCTGTCATATCTGAGAATCACTGGTGAGAAAAACTAGGGAGTAACTCGACAATGTAGTTCGACGGGTTAACTCTGCAGCTCGTAAGGTACAGCTGATACATGTGTGCGAGAGGTCAGCAAGTCATCTCAACAGATTATTCCAGTAACGATTATATCTTCTGAGCAGATGAGCTTATCAAACCCAAGAGGTTGGGCCTACAAAGAGCTGATTTTTGGCATGCATAAGTACTAAAACTTTGTAGATCTAAATATTCCAAAGGTTCGATAATATGAACTTAGGACTATTGGAACTCATGCAAATCAACATGAATTCGTCCAGATCAACTTGAATTTGTTTGAGTCCGGATCAAGATGAATTAATTATAACTGTTTAAAGTTATAATGAACCTTGAAGAATATATTGTGAATTCACAGGGGTCTATGGTATTTGTAAGAGCTCAAGCCTACTCCTTCAAGACTAGTCATTTTTATCCGAGTTCGAGAACTACTTGCTACATCGCAACTTCCACTAAGCAACTATAAATCAAAGGACTCAACTCTGTCTCGTATATTTTATAGCAAGGGATCAACGGACCATTTCATGTACTCTTTTTATTTATGCACAATATCTAACTTTTCCTATGGTGCTCATATTCATCTGTAAAGTCTAAACCTATAAATCTCAGTCCACAAAGAGAGCCCGGGTTATGCAATAAATAGTACTTGAACCAATTATAATGAAATCACAAAGCTTCCCGCTCCAAAATTTCTGTTAGGATTTTGTTGTGAATGATGGTAAGGGTCTGATGAACAACAAAGAATCAATTTTTTGACACCGGGAGTATAGAGGAGCAAAAAAAAAAAAAACTTCGAACACCGGGAGTATAGAGGAGCCAAAAAAAAAAAAAACTTCGATCAACAACAGAGAATCAATTTTTGACACTGATTGACAACTTTAGAGATGAAATAGAGTATTGGAGGAATGATTCAAGAAATTAAGGAGCATAATCCAAGTACCAATCACACTGTGCAATAACAAGATAGGTCATCAGATTTTGTCATCTTCCTAAGACATTTGAGCCCAAGAGCATTGCTCTCCTTGTCAACCAATGATGAGGCCTATTACCAATATGAAAATGAAGATTTATTTCGCACCCCTTCGAGCAAAGAGATGAGCTGAGAAGAGGAAGACCTCTAACTACTATGCTTTTACAAAGGAAATTGCAGAGGTGAACGCTCGTAAAAATTTCAAGATTCCTCAAACTGATCCATGTAAGATTAAAATTGATTAATGGAATACGATGCCAACTTTGAATTTGTTATTCCTTTGCTTGATATTAACAATGATTTAAAATGAGGTTATTTTTTATAACTTTCAAGGAGTTGACTCTCAGGAGCTTTCCCGCCTACCACTTCAAATGATTACTTTGTCGAGTTAAGAAATTGTTTATCACTTGATTTTCCAGTACAAAATGGCCGCAGAAACATTCACAAGTCTTGAGGAAGATAAGACCGGAACCGAGCCATGTTAGTCACTCAAAAGCTTCATAATGAGATCTCAAAGGGAAATGTTAGATCTAAAGAATTTGGAGTCAGCAATGGCTCAACTTGCACTTATCAAGTTTAATAGAAGAATCATTCAGCCATGCTTAGAGCTTTTAATAATCTAAGACCAAAGTTGCATTGTCCAAGTTCCCCAACAGTCATATTAATGTTGAAGAATAAAATTGTGAGTCGGTTATGTTCGACTTCAAATTTCCCAAAAAACTTTACTTGGGTAGAAAATTTCCAGCGATATTTTATGGACCCCCAAAAGTCATCCAAGATTTTCGAGAAAAAGGTATAGCTCACGCTTTCACACACAACGACATTATCAATGTCATCAAGTGAGGCAAGTTAGAAAAAAAAAGTCAAGATGATGGCGGAGGACTGAAGGGGTCACAATCTTGTTGTGGTCCCTTGAAATAAAATAAAACGATCAAAGACGAAGTGAAAAATAGCACAAGAAAATTCACACCAAAAAAGAACACACAGATTTACGTGGTTCGGCAAATTGTTTACATCCACGGAGTTGCAGAGGATTTTACTAATTGAGGAATTTACACCGTTTGATCACGTCGACAATTATAGGATCTCTCACTTGCTCTCTCTCTTTATATCGAGATTCACCCAAGAGCAAGAACACCAAAAAAGAAGAAATATGTACAAAAGAAAAAATCCATTTCTCTTCTTTTGCAAGCCAACAAGAAGAAATCAAGAAGAGCACCTTCTTCTTCCACTACCTTCTTCCTTCTGTCAATAACGCAAAAACAACTAAAAAAGAGCACCTTGCGAAAACACATTTTTTTGTCTGCTGCTTTCCATAAGCCTCGAGAAGAATCCAAGCAGGGAGTCTCATTTCCTGTTTCCGCGAACTGAAGGAGGTGCGGGTTGTTTCGCGAAGAGAAGAAACGGAAGCAAGCGTGACGGGAGGAATAACCTTCTGTTTTCGCAAGAAACGGAGGAGGGCTTCTGTTTCGCAAGCGAGAGATGGAGATTTTTTTGTTTCGCGAACTGAAGAGGCGAAAGTGGGAGAGAGAGAGAGGCGGGAGCAGGTAACAGTTATTTTCTTTTTTTCCTTTTTTTTTGAACCGGGCTCCACCTCAACAAATCTCCCACTTGGAGACCGATACACATACAACATCGTTTCTTCCTCAAACCGATATCCTTCACTGACGGCGTCGCCTTTTTCTTCAAGTGTATTATCCTCCACCTCTGCAACTCAAAGCCCATGTCTTCACACCAGAAGACCAATTGAAGCTGCGCACAATTTCAATTTCTCAAGAGTAACACCCTTTGTCAACATATCAGCAGGGTTCTGGCTTCCACAAATTTTCTCAAGCAACAACTGTCCGTCATCCAACAATGACCGTATGAAGTGATACCTGATCTGAATGTGCTTAGTCCTAGACTGAAATGTTGGATTCCTAGCAATAAATATGACACTTTGACTATTACTATAGAGAATACACTTCTGATTCTTCTTGCTTCCAAGAAGTTCTGTAGTCATATTATCTCATTTGTAGTCTCTGACAATGTTATGTACTCAGCTTCTATAATAGACAACGAAATTGTCTTCTGCAGATTAGAGCCTCATGATACTGCAGTGTCACCAATAATATAAATATAGCCCGTAGTACTTCTTCTGGTATCAATGTCTCCAGCTAGATCAGCATCAACATAGACTTGTACATCTGAACTATTTCCTGAGAAACACAAGCAAGTTTTGTAGAGCCTTTTAGATACCTCAAGATCCACTTCACTGCTTCCCAATATTCCTTTCCTGGATTACTCATGTATCTGCTAACAACTCTCACTACATAGGCAATATCCGGTCTGGTGCAAATCATAGTATAGATAAGTGAACCAATAGTTGAAGCATAAGAAACCTTACTCATGTGATCTCATTCCTCCTCTGACTTGACTGATCCTTGCTGAGTCTGACGTGACGTCCCAGAGGTGTGTCAACTGGTTTGGCCTTATCCATGTTGAATCTGCTAAGTACATTTTTCACATACTCAGCCTGAGAGAATCTCAACATGCTTCTGACTCTATCTCTTACAATTCTCATACCAAAAATTTGTTTTGCCACTCCCAAATCCTTCGTTGCAAAGTGCTCTGACATCTACTCCTTCAGATTATTGATCTCCTCAATACTAGCACCTGCAATAAGCATATCATCCACATACAACAATAGGATGATATAAAAATTATCAAAATATCTGACATAACAACAGTGATCTGTCTGACATCTGTTGTACCCTGCACTGTGCATGAAATTATCAAATTTCTTGTACCACTGTCTTGGAGCTTGCTTCAGGCCATACACACTCTTCTTCAATCTGCAAATTGACTCTTCCTTTCTCTGTACCACGAACCCTTCAGTTTGGTGCATGTAGATGTCTTCTTCAAGATCCCCATAAAGAAAGACTGTTTTCACATCTAACTGCCAAGGAAAAGATCTTCAGTAGTCATCATAGACAGTACCATTCTGATGGTTGTAAGCTTCACCACAAGAGAGAAAATCTCGAAATAATCAATAAAGTGTTTCTATTGAAAACCCTTTACAGCAAGTCTAGCCTTATATCTTTACTGTCATCATTCTCAGTCTTTACCCGGTACACGTGTAATGTTTTCTTCCCAGATGAAAGTTCTATCAACTCCCAAGTCCGATTTTCTAGCAGAGAATTCATCTCCTCCTTCATGACTAGCACTCATTTGCTCGAATTTTTATCTTGCAAGATTTTTTCATAACTTTGAGGTTCTCCACCATCTGTCAGCAAAATGTAGTTTAAAGTTGGAGAATAACGCTGTGGAAAAAGTCTAGCCCTTTCTGACCTGTGAACTGCAATTGTATAGGAATTGTATAGGTGGACTGCTCTGAAACTGATTGTGGAACAATAGGAGTGGATGCCCCGGATTCATTCTCCTCATCACCAGCATCTAAGCCCTGCACTGTAACTTCTGGTAAATCATCAAATCTTACCAACTCAGATTCCTTCAGTGTTGTTTCAGAAGCTGTATTGGACTTGTCATTGTATATAACATTTTCATTGAAAATCACGTTCTTGCTCCTTATGATATTCCGACCCTGATCATCCCAGAAACGATATCCAAATGTCTCATCTCCATAGCCAATGAAATAACACTTCCTTGACTTAGCCTCAAGCTTATTACGAGTAGTATCAGGATTAATGAGAATATAAGAAAGACAGCCAAAAGTCTTAAGGTAAGAGAATTTTACCTCTTTCCCACTCTAGACTTCTTCGGGTAATTCACAATTTAATGGAACAGATGACCCACTATTGATCAAAAAAACTGCAGTACTAACCGCTTCTGCCCATAAAGTAAGTGGTAGTCCGACGTGCAATCTAATGCTTCTAGCCCGCTTATTAATGGTTTTGTTTATGCGCTCGGCAACACCATTTTGTTGTGGTGTCCCTCGCGTGGTCTTCTTCATTCTGATGCCCTGAGCTGCACAATACTCCTTGAATCAACTATCAATGCACTCACAATCATTATCAGACCTTAGACATTTCAGTTTTAAGCATGTCTTTGTCTCAACCATGACCTTTCAAGTCTTGAACACACTGAATACATCAGATTTATACATTAAGAAATAAACTCATACATTTTTATTATAATCATCAATAAATGTGACGTAGTAACGAGAGCCTCCAAGAGATGCTACTGGAGAAGGTCCCCACACATCTGTGTGTACAAGATCCAGTTTTCCTGTCTTTAGCGTCTTGCCACCTATCAAGAAATTGATTTTTCTCTGCTTCCCCATAATGCAATTCTCACACATGCTGAAATCAACTGACTTCAGTTCTGGTAGCTTGCCTCTGGATTGAAGTTCCTTCATATTTCTTTGACTCATGTGGCCAAGTCTGCAATGTCACAACTCTGTTGTGTTGTCTGCAACAATAGTATCAACATTGTTAATTAAACCAGTAGTCATATATAGCGTACATGTTTTCTTACCCGGAGCCAGTAACAGAGCTCCTTTAGTAACCTTCCAGGTGTTATTTGAGAATACTACTGAATTTCCACACTCATCAAGCTGCCCAACAGAAATGAGATTCTTCTTCAGTTCAAGAATGTGTCTGACCTTTTGCAGAGTATATTTGTTCTTGTTTGGATGTGAAATGACAATATCTCTCATTTCTACCACGTTTAGAGCTTCTCCATCTGTCATATATACTTTCCCAAAGTCACCTGCAACATAATTCTGCATCAATTCCCGATGGAAAGTTGTATGAAAAGAAGCCCTTGAATCTAGTATTCAGTCATCAACAGAACTATGAACTACCAGCAGTAGTGCATCATGTGTTTCTTCAGTTACCACATTTACACTGTCATTCTCTGTTTTCTTAGGATTTCTGCAGTTCCTCTTTATGTAGTCAGTTTTCCCACAATTTTAGCAAGTTGTTTATCAGGCCTTGACTTGCTTCTACTTCTGTTCTTTGATTTTGATTTTCCCTTGTTTGAGTTCTTGTTTTGTGATCTCCCTCTGGAATCAACATTGAATGCTGAACTCAAACCTGAGATCTCGCCAGAATCTTTCTTGCACATCTCCTCAGTTAAAATCAAATCACGAATATCTTCATATTTCAATTTAGATTTATCAGCAGAATTAATGACAATTATTCTCATAGTTTCTCAGCTATTTGACAATAAAGCCAACAAGATCAGTGCATGTGTCTCACCATCAAATTCAAATTTCACAGAAGATAATTGATTTGTGATGGTATTAAAATCATTTAGGTGTTGTACAACAGACGTACATTCCGCCATTTTCAAATTAAATAACTTCTTCATCAGATATACATTATTATTCGTCGATGGCTGTTCATACATACCTAACAGAACTGTCATAAGATCTGCAGTTGTCTTCTTCTTGACGATGTTGCGTGCAACGGACCTCGATAGGGTCAATCGAATAACCCCCAGAACTTGTCGATCCAACAGATTTCATTCAGCTTCATCCATTCTTTCAGGTCTTTTCCCCGATAACAAAATATGGAGTTTCTTCCCATAGAGGGAATCCTCTATATGCTTCCTCCAGTAACTAAAATCTGTGTCATCAAATTTCTTCAAATTTCTCGATCTCTGAAACCGAAACCTTCACTTCATCCGCAACCATTGGCTCTGATACCAGTTGTGATATATTGAAATAAAATAGAATGATCGACGACAAAGTGAAAAATAGAAAAAGAAAATTCACACCAGAAAATAACACACGGATTTACGTGGTTCGGCAATTTGCCTACATCCACGAAATTGCAGAGGATTTTACTAATTGAGAAATTTACACTGTTTGATCACGTCGACAATTACATGATCTCTCACTTGCTCTCTCTCTCTCTTTTTATACCGAAATTCACCCAAGAGCAAAAACACCAAAAAAGAAGAAATACGTACAAGAGAAAAAATTTATTTCTCTTCTGTTGTAGGCCAACAAGAAGAAATCAAGAAGAGCACATTCTTCTTCCTTCTGCCAAGAACACAAAAGCAACTAAGAAATCACTTTGCGAAAACACCTTTTTTTTCTACCTGCTTTTCGTAAGCCTCAAGAAGAATCCAAGCAGGGAGTCTCCTTTCATGTTTCCGCGAACTGAAGGAGGTGCGGGCTTTTTCGCGAAGAGAAGGAACGGAAGCAAGCGTGATGAGAGGAGTAACCTTTTGTTTACGCAAGAGACAGGGGAGGGCTTCTGTTTCGCGAGCGAGAGACGAAGACGGGCGCAGCGATTTTTCTGTTTCGCAAACTGAAGAGGCAGAAGTGGGAGAGAGAGGGGCGGGAGAGGGTAACAGTTATTTTCCTCTTTTTTTTTTTTTTCCTGAATCGGGCTCCACCTCAACAAATCTCCTACTCACCCCTACCCAATCATCACTTTGATTTGTGTTTTGATGTCTAAAAACTAGTAGAAGTCATTCAAAATAAAGACTTTTTCAAACAACCAACTCCCAAGAAGGTTATCTCTCATGCAAGAGATTCTTCGAAGAACTGTGTGTTTCACAGGGATCACGGGCACAATAAAGAGGATTGTCGACATCTTCATAATTTGGTGGTAAAATTTATCAAGGTGAGAAAGCTAAATGAATTTGCCTTGCTGATCTTCGGTGGACGCCAAAAAAGATGTTAACAGAAAAGGATGCTATCCCTCACGTAATAGATTTTTTAAAGCATTGTGTGTTTTATAGGGATCATTGGCACGGTATAGAGGATTGTAAACATCTATGTAATTTGGTGAGAAAACTTATCAAGGCAAGAAAGCCAAATGAATCTGTTGTTGCATATATGGGGGCAGAGGCCAAAAAAGGTGCTAACAAAAGAGCAAAGGAATAAAAAAGCCAATGCACATTGCTAGAGATCTAGGGTGGTATCCACCATTCTTGATGCATAAAGAGAAAAAACGACTCTACAAGCAAGCCTCAAACAACTTAGATCAGAAGAGATAAACTTTGATAGCGCTGATTTTTTAGGTGGTGTCCATCATATTTTCTAAAGTGAATAGAACAGCAAAGGAGAATCTTTTTATTAATAGTATTTCGGTTATCACCTTAATCTCTAGCTACCAAATTAGCAGCATTCTGATTAACACAACGAGCTCAATAAATATTATTTTTAAAAATAATTTTGAGTAGATGAATATTAATGGTCCTTGCTCGTCACAAAATAAAGAGCCATTATTCAATTTTTTGGGGAAAAAGGGGAGAAAGTGAATTTTTTGTTGCATTGTTAATTACTTGGGGAGAAGAAGTAAGATACTTTATGGCAATGGTTGACTTCAATGGATGAAATTAACAATGAAGAAATATATAATGTATTATATTTCAAAATTTTATATCTGAACTCCATCAAACCAAACAGCAAAATACTTGAAAAATATCAAAATATACAGGCCAGAACATCAAAATAAGGATTTGCAGAGACCAAGCATTTTTTTGAAATGGCAAAGCAAAGCTAACCTCAAGACACTGCAGCCACTTGTCTTGCCTCCCTAGCTCCTCGAAGAGTAGAAAGCAATGCTCTGTCCTCACAGTCCTCACATACTTGTTGAGCGTGGTCACCAAAGGGAACTTCTCATCACCAGCCTTCCGCAATAGCACCCGCATGAGCTCCTCTGATTCTGTTGTGGATCCCCCTCTACCAAACTTCCGTTTTGGCCGAGTAGATGTGGTGCCGACATAGTTATTTGTGGCAAACAATGCACCATAGCAGAATGGTACCCTTGAGCAATAGAGATTGGCAGATAGCACGGTGCGCGCTATTTAGAAAAAATATATATATAGAAATTAAATCATTAATGAAGAAAGTTATTTTATAGAAAGTGCCATATTGTACGCATCAATGTCATTAGTCACTGAACTTTTAGACGGTGGATCAAGGAGTGTCCATTCTGTATGAAATTTATAGCATTTACACAAAAAATAAAATCTTTTATGAAAAAGTAACTTGAGAGCTAATCAAGGGGGATGAAAGAGGAAGTATTGCTCATATCAAAGACTAAGCCAATATAATAAAAAGGATGGAATAAAAAGGCAGAACATGAGCTCAGGATGTTTTTCCATAATTGTTAGGGCTCAATTTATACCTATATGCAGCCTAATAAGAACAAACAACCAAGAAATCAGCATACAAACCACAGCAGCAGAGTCAGGACCAGGCAGTAGCAGCTGTAGGAAGGTTTGAATCGTGCATTTATATTTCTAATTGAGTTGTTGAGATTATATAGAGACTTAAAAGACTATAAAGAAGAGATTTCTCAATTTCAAGTGAGGGCAGAAAAATCCAATAAAAATAATTGCAGCAATTACATAATAATCGTCATGATACATTTTCTCCTATAAGAAGGGAGACTTGGAAAAAGGGTAACAGATATGGTAGCAACAAGCCAAAAGAAGATTGTTTAATTAAATCAGTTAAAAGACAGGATAGGTCATGCAAATAAAAAGATAGACTCCAAAGCTTTAGATGATGGGAGACAGATTTTACATGTGGTGGTGTCAAAGTAGATAATGGCGCTTTGACAGAGGGAATAGCTGAGAATTATTTATATAGAGAAGAGAGGGGAAGTGTAGGGGTGGGTGAAAAAATAGTTTATGAGATAGACTATTGTGCCGAAAGCACAGTCTAATAAGGAGGTAGAAAGGAAGCACGAGAGATAATAAAAAGACTAATTTCCAAAATTTATTGATGAAGTCTTTAAGAGTACTTGTTATTTTGAGTTGTGTAGTGAGGAAGAGAGTTGAGAGGTATCATTAGTGGATAGGAATAAGTCTAAAACACTATATTTTTTTATTTATGTGGATATCATGGCATATATTTGATATGATGATCAATGCAAATGAACGCATTCAACGCCATTACAAAATGTTATGAGGTCAACACAGCTAACAAAAGTAATTCAAGAGGCGAATAAGTTGAAATAATTGAGGTAGAAAATGGATGTTTGTCTTGTGTTGCACTGCAATAATATGCATCATGGTAGAAAGCTGGTAACAATGGGAATGAAAATTCTAGGTTGAATAAGAAAATGATAAACTTAAGAATGGGATTGATGAATGGCCTAACTTATGATGTCATTGGAACAAAGTGGTCGTAACATTGAAAAAAAAAAAACATATGGAGATAACTTGACGCTACTGGAGATCAATAGATGCTCAAAAATGAAAGTTGGCATAATGTGAGAAGAGTGAAAACAGGAATGTGAGAGGAACTAGTCAGAGCTCTAATACAATTTATAAATGGCTTGAACAATGGCTTAATCTTCCTCATTAAGTTGTCGGAATCATAGAAAAGTGTGGTAGACTGCAAAAGATGCGCTTTTCATTTCAATTATAGGCGGAAAAATACAGTAATGAAAAATAAATAATTACAAATAATTACAGCATAACGGTTATATAACAAGACAATCGACTGGCCGAATTCAAGCTAGTATTCCAACCAAATACCTAGAACACCCAATTCAAGTTAGAACAGTTCACAGGTCAACTCAGCCTACATGAAAACTTAACCATTCAGCTCAACAAAATCAGCATACAATCCATACTAATTAATCCGATCAAGTAGCGAACAAGCAAGCACTGAACAACTTAGCTAATTCCCGATCAAGCTATTCGTCAACTCAACAATTCATAAATTAAGATAATCATTAATGAAAACTTTCGCACATCAACAGCGCAGCACATCTACAAAACAGAAAAATTTCTACAATCAAGGGAGCTTCATCAAGCCACATATCACACAACACAACTAATAATGCTGTTTTCCCTCCCTCCCTCCTTAAAAAACACAGACATGAAGGCAAATCAGAGATGAAAACCGTGGCTACAGTAGAAATCATGGATTAGGGTGAGATTTTAAAATCATACCGTGGCCCTTGCGCTCGAATGGTCGACGGGGTGAGGGGGGAGTGAGGCCGGAAAGAATACCGGAGAGGGTTGGGGAGCTGTGGCTGGAGTGGAGATGGAGCATGGCGGACTGGTACCGGTTGAACTTTTCGCGATCTTAAGAAACTCGAACCGGAACGGTCCGGTGGACAGCTTCCATTTTGGGTTGTGCGAGCTTTGAGAATTTGATCATAAAGCTGCTAATTCAAAAAAAAAAAAATGTATTTATTGTGATTTTGAGACATTAACATACATATCACGAAATTTGTATGGATATAAAACTCCTTAACATTAAATTGTCTAACAAATTTCAAATATAATTATAGTCAAATTGAGTGTTTTTTTTTAGTCAAATCAACGAGTAATTGGGATGAAAAAATATTTATGCAGCCGACCCCACTTATTGGGATGAAGGCTTATTGTTGTTATTGTTATTGTTGTTTTTTGTCATTTCAACCTAAAAGTAATACGTTATATTAGGTTAAAATATTACATTTGTCATCATCGACGTGCAGATGACGACATGAATCACATAATGCCATGTGCGCAACGCAGTGGACGATGGCCTGGATCGCACCATATCGTTTACGATCCTTGCCATCGTCTGCACTTGTAATTTTCAGGACATAATATTTTTTTTCTCTATTAAATAATTATTCTTGATTGTTCATTATCATTTAATATTTTATATTGGTATCATGATGACATTTTATTTGAGTCTCTTCACGCTCTTCAAGTTAGTGTTGTTTAAGCGCTTGCTTAGATTATAAGCATGCAAATCTTGAAGTCTTTTGACACATTAATTATTCTCGCAGAACATCTAATTATATTTATGATTGCTTAAATTAAGCCATTTGAATAAGAGAAAAATTTGTATGGAGCTCAGTCGATGCAAAAAATAAAATTTGAAAAAAAATTAATGAACATATTTAAATACTTTTAATATGAAAAGTTCATCAAAAATATATTTTTCTTTATCATAAAAGTATAATATAGAATTTTAAAGTTAGGGTTTTGTCCAACCATTTACATGATGTTGATTTAACCTTATGTTTTATAGAATTGCTAAAATATTGCTCCATTACTTTAATTTAGAGTTGAGATAGTCTTCATAACGAACAATTATAACTTAATTTTGAAAATAATCGAAAAATATTTTGACATTTCTATAAATTTTGAGACTAAACCGACACCATATAAATAGCCAGGGACTATTTAGACACACATTTCTAATTTGACTATCATAAAATTTAGACCACATTAAATTTCATAATTACATATATATATATATATATAGCATCCAATTTGTTTTAGACTACCACCAAAATAATATTTTTTTGACATAAAAAATATCACTATTATAGCAATTAAAATAAAATTAAATAATATATATTAGCTGAGTGGCATTTGCGTTAATATTTGTAAACTTAGAGGGGCATAATTAAAAAGTCTCCAAGAAATTGAGGGGTTATCGCCATCTTCCCCATCTCCGGCCATTGTTCATCTTCTAGGGCTTTTACAAGTCAGACCCGGTAAGATTTACTGTGATGCTACAACCCTAGGCAGCCAAGTAGAAAAAAACTATAATCTCTAAGCTTTGATTTACTTTTAAATTTCCGAGCCCTTTCAGGCGCTGTTTGATCGGAGCTTCCGGGTTAGCCGTGAAATTGTTCGATATTTATTTTGATTGGTGTTGCTGGCTTTTGATCGCGACGGTGTGGGATTTCGAATTGCAAGAACTGTGAGTCTCATGGTTCCTTAGATTAGGGTTTTGTTACGCGCTGTTTGTTATCTATCGTTCGGGATGTCATTCTGATTTTTTTAAGAATTAGAATTTGCAGGGCATGGCTCGCAGCCGGAGAATATATGTTGGCAATCTTCCTGGTGATATTCGCGAGAGAGAGATCGAGGATCTTTTTTACAAGGTCCACTCAAAATCATACATTTGCTTAGACCATGAGCTTTCCTGCTGTGTTCTATGTTCTATGTTTGTTGTTTGTTTGCTTTTCTTGTACTTAGGAGCATGCTTGGAGGGTTGGCATGTGTCTTTATGAAATTTGATTGCGTGGGAGTTGCCAAGGTGGAAGGAATGACTGTCACCTTGTTTGTCCTCTGGTGTGCAGTTTAGTACAAGCACGAATCTTGAAATACTTAGTTTTTATAATTAATGGATGTCTTAAAGAGACCTTTGGTTACGGCCTTATGGAATTAATATTGTTAGAAATTTAAAGGATTTTGTTGGATTTGTGATGTTGATCTTGATATTATTACTAAATGTGATATAAAATGGATGATTAAATTCATGTTGGAAAGTTGAGATTGGTGCCAATCGGGTGTATCAATTTTGAATTTATGGATTAGGTTCACTTCTTAGCCCTTGAATTCATGGATTAGGTTCACTTTTTAGCGCCTGTTGTCTCAATCAACTGTGGTAGAATCACATGAGATTGTGTGGATGAGAATGTAGTCCATATATTTGAGTGCAAATAAATAGAGAAATAATCTTTAATGGGTGTAGAATTAGAGGACTTCAGAGTGACAAGCTAAAACCCCATAATTTGCTTAATTGTTTTAGGTTTTGATGCGAGATGTTAGCCTCCAGGTGAAGGGATAAGAGAGAACTCTAGAGTGAGCCCCCCCCCCCCCCCCCCTCCCAAAAAAAAAGCCTCCATCACCGTGGCGGTCAAAATGAGCTCAACTTGTTTATTAAAATGGTTAAAATTTATCATTTGAATTTTGCTCGATCAAAATGAACTTTATGCGACACAAAAATAATTATGCGGCACAAAAATAATTAAGTAGTGGTAGGTTAGTGTCAACTCATTGACACATAAAACTTAGAAAAAAAATTATATGATGTTCTCATAATAAATGAATCGAACAGGCAAGTCGTTCTTTTTTGGATGAACCAAACTTGATCCCAACGTTAGCACTTAGTGGGGGATAGGACATTACAAAGTAGGATTGGTTAAGACTTATGTGTACTATTTGATAGTGGGTTTCAAATAATGGTAATTCTAAAACAATTGCATACATTAAGGCTCCATATGGAGTAATTCTTTGTTTTCAAAGAACATAAACTAAAGCAAATAATCTTTTTTGTTTCCTATTTTTTCATATTTATTTTATTTTATTTTATTTTGTATTTAAACAAACTTGTTTTTCTTTTTTCAAAAACACAAAACAACTAAAATCAGTTTTTATGTTTTTAAAATAGCTCCCCACCCATGGCGACCCCAACCTCGACCACATTGCCTTTTTCGATGTCGATGCCTTCTTTGATGCCAATGCCTTCTTTTTATGCGACGCCAATGCGATGCCTTCTTTTCCGTTGTTACCGCTTTATCATCTTCTTCTTTTGTTATGTCTCCTCTCCTCCTTAATTTGCACCGCCAACTGACAACTACCACAGAGATTCCAACAGAGGCGGTGGTCGAGTGATAAATAGCGAAGAAGCGTAAAGTGGAGCTCGTTGGTTTCAACGACGCTACTACGACAAAAAAGTTGTAGGTGATTTCACTGGTGGAGAAGCTCTAACTGCTTCTGATGGCTGCAGTGGAGGAACGGAGTAGAGTGGACCAGAGAGGGTTGAGGCGATTGTGGGGGAGGGGGTTGAGGGAGGAAGGGGAGGAGTTGGAGGGGATAAATACATTTTTTTTTCTTTTTTTTTTCTTTTTTGAACATATTTTTTGTTTTTATTTTAAAAATAGAAAAATTATTAGCATAACGAACATGTTTTTGTTTTTATGCTTAAACAAAAAAAAAAACAAGTAAAGAACAAAAAAATAAACAGAAAGTGCCAAAACAAATATTGCCTTCTTCGATGCCGATGCCTTCTTTGATGCCAATGCCTTCTTTATATGTGACGCCAATGCGATGCCTTCTTTTCCGTTGTTACTGCTTCATCATCTTCTTCTTTTTGTTATATCTCCTCTCCTCCTTAATTTGCACCGCCAACTGACAACCTCCACAGAGATTCCAACAAAGGTGGTGGTCGAGTGATAAGTAGCGAAGAAGCGTAAAGTGGAGTTCGTTGGTTTCAACGACACGACTATGACAAAAAAGTTGTAGGTGATTTCACTGGTGGAGAAACTAACTGCTTCCAATGGCGGCAGTGGAGGAAGGAAGTAGAGTGGACCAGTGAGGGTTGAGGCGATTGTGGGGGAGGGGGCTGAGGGAGGAAGGGGAAGAGTTGGAGGGGATAATTAAATTTTTTTCGTATTTTTCTTTTATGAACATATTTTTTGTTTTTATTTTTAAAAATAGAAAAATTATTAGCATAACAAATATGTTTTTGTTTTTATGTTTTTAAAAAAATCAAATAAAGAACAAAAAAAATAAACAGAAAGTGAGGTTTTCAAAAACGCCCCCCCCCCCCCTCCCCTAACTGAAATTTAGCATTAACACATCCTAGGTAGGCTTAACACTAATGCTAATTTGTTTTTGTCATCTAAGAATTGACGCAGGGTTATGCCTTACAATTTAGTATTTTTTAGCTTTATATACTTTTTGGCTTTGCTTGAAGATGAGTTCAGATTGCGCGCGCGACGGGGTGGGGATGGGAATCTCTCTATACTAATGTTTCTATTTCATACTTTGTGTATAAAAATAGCTGACCCGAACTCAACCTGAATATTATATGGATTAAAATTAAACTTAATTTATTGTGCCATGTTCAATATTGACCCTCATGTTGGCATTCATACAAAGTTTGTAGGGGTGTCAACAAATGACCTGACATGACAACTTGGTAGGGTCCCAATAAAAAAAATCGAAGTTTTGGTTGATTTGACTAAAACTTGGGTTGAATTTGTGTCTAAAATCTTGATTCGATTAAATTTTGATTTTGGTTTGAGTTGACCTAAAAAGTTGAAAATGACACCCAAATGCTATTGTGGCATTATGTAGATAGGTCTTGTTCAAGTTAAATGGTTTGTGTTGATAAAAAATAGATGGATTAAGAAGTTTGGGTTCATGCTGGGTGATTTATGGTTGAGTCAACTAAAGGTTGATTTTTTTCACCCAAATAATAATGGAGACGGGTTCGGTTGATGTGACTAAAATTGGGTTAAATTTGTGTCTAAAATTTTGATCGAGTAAACTTTGATTTTGGTTTGAGTTGACCTAAAAAGTTGAAAATGACACCCAAATGCTATTGGGACATGATGTGGATGGGTCATAGTCAAGTTAAATGGGTTGTGTTGATAAAATTTCTTGATTTATGCATAGATGGATTAAATTGTTCGGGTTCGTGCCAGGTATGGTTGAGTCAACTTAAAGTTGATTATTTTCACTTAATAATAATGGGAATGGGTTCAACCAAGCATATTTTGGTCGAGGTTAAAATTGGGTCAAAATTTGGGCGTGGGGATTTTGTGAATTTCGCTGTACTAATATTTCAATTTCATACTTATTTGTGTAAAAATAGATGACCCAAACTCAACCCAAATGTTATATGGATTAAAATTAAACTTATTTTTTTCGTGCCATGCTCAATATTGACCCTCATATTGGCAATCATATAAAGTTTGTAGCACTGTCTACAAATGACCTAATATTTGGCAGGGGTCCAATAAAAAAAATAAGAGTTTTGATTAATTTGACTAAAATTTAGGTTGAATTTTTGTCTAAAATCTTGATCCGATTAAAATTTGATTTTGGTTTGAGCTGACTTGAAAATTTGAAAGTAACAACCAAATGCTTTTGGGGCATGATGTAGATGGGTCATGGTCGAGTTAAATGGGTTATGTTGATAATAAAATTTCCAGATTTATGCATAGTTGGATTAAATTGTTCGGGTTTGTGCTAGTTGATTTATGGTTGAGTCAACTTAAAGTTAATTGTTTTCACCCAAATAATAATGGGGACGGGGTTCAATCAAGCATATTTGGGTCGAGGTCAAAATTGGGTTAGACTCAATCTTTCAACTTGAATTGAAACCCCTACTAGTTCATCGTGCTCACTTGTAAGATCAACATATATCTTGATATAATTTGATGATGTGGTAGTTGGGAGGACTCATATTGTTTGGTTTTTTAAGTGTGGGATCATAGGAGCATGAATGTTGAGACTCCTAATTTGCTTGTTTAAATTAATCCAAGGATAAGTACTTTCAAGGGCACATAATTTTCCATCCCCTTTTCCGGGGTTTCTTTTGGACAAGGCTAAAAAAAATGATTTTCTAACTTTAATAGATTCTTGTAGATTTGTTTCTTAATCGATAGTACTGTTAATTCAAATAACATGAATTCCCTTCAATTTTTGATAACTTCCATTGAAGTTCATGTATAATGCCAGGGGCTAAATTGAAATAATATTGCTTGAACTACTTTGTGGATATTGCTTGCTTCTACAACCGAACTGCATGACACATGCTTCAAATCGACAATTTTGTTTCAAGCCTTGAAACTTGTTCAATATCCTTTGAATTTTATTTGTCTCAAATTTCAATATTTTATTTTCGTTGACTACAAAAATGTTCACTCAAAATTAGATTAATTTAATACATGTATTCATATATTTGATAATGCCTTCTTATTTCATAGCACAAATATTTATGAATTATAGTTCTCAAGATACAACAACAACAAAACCTTAATCCCACTACGTAGGGTCAACTACATGGATTCTTTTTCTCCATTGAGTCCTATTTAGTGTCATATTTTCATTTAGTTCTAATAAATATAGATGATTTTTTATACAATATGCCCTTGTATTCCTAGGTCTACCTCTGTCTTTCTTAACGTAAGTCGAATCTAAAACATCTACTCTCCTCATCAGATCATCAGATGGTCGACGCCTAATGTGACCAAACCATCTAAGACGATTTTCTCTAATTTGTTGCTAATATGAGTCAAAAGTATTGAATTGCCGGTCATTTAGATTTATGAAATCATTTCGCATTTTGTCTCTAAGTGCAAAGCCACTTATCCACCTAATCCTTAACTTAGTAACAACACTTAACTTAGTATTTTGCTTCTCTTTTAAAGGTCAACATTCAACGCCATAGAGCATTGCAGACTATAGTTCTCAAGATAAATTTACAAAAAAATTATTTAATGCACATAGAATATATTTTAATAAAATTGAATCAAATCAACTTGGCACTTAACTCAAAATTGTTTAGTTTTAATTCAAATTGAACTTGGTGTCAGTTGAAATCAAAAACATCGATTTCAAGATTAGTTTGTTTTTCTTGAACTCGAGTCAAAATCGCATGTATGCTTTTCAAGCATCAACACTTCGTTACTCAACTACTCATTGGGGTGCTGTATCTATCATAATGGTGGGCACAAGCATACCAGCCCTTTTAGGTGGATCCTTGCTAGCTTTGCATGTACCATTTTAGAGCTCCAAATAGCTTTCACTACTTTATTAAGTATTCTTTGAATATGTGGACTAATTTGAAGGAGTTTTTGTAGCACGATCACTCTTTTCTCTAGGTAAGTTGGATTTTGATCTTTTACTTATCTTTCTTCATGCATTGTTCTTTTGACATTATGACAATTAATGGGTGACTTGGTAGATAAGCTCTCATCTTGGCACACCGTCTTGCATTTTTTGATCTACTGACAACAATGGTGATCCTAGCCTTTCAGACATTTAGTCTCTGGCTAGTAGTCCCTACGTGCGATGTTTGCTTGTTGACAAGTCACTAATGGCGGTCTCAAATATTCAATTCATGGCCCCAACCTTCTTTGTGTGCTCTTATTAAAATTGAGGCCACAACGGTAATCTCAAATTTTATGATCTTGAGCTAGAGCCCATTCATTTGTGAATAATTTATTCAATGTTGGGGGCACCAACTATGATCTCAATGTCTAAGCTCTCGGCCTAGTACCCTTCTGATAAGGCAGTGTTGACGGCCCCAAAAACCCATGTAGTGGGTGCCTCTCCTAGTAAATTTCTCATTCATTTGTTCAACGTTAAGGTGATAAAAATGCTAGGAGAGACACCCACTACATGGGTTTAACAATGATAACTTTATTTACTTTCTGGGGCCGCATATTATGAAATTTTGTTGATGGAGAAGAAATTATTGGGGTAACAATCTTTTTGAAGCTGATTCTCTGATAAAACAAGAGCTTTTTGTATTTATGAAGAAGTAATTCAGCAGTTTAGTATTTGAAGTGCCTTTTTTATGGTGTAATATGATGTTTTTTTTATGGATGTCTATTTTTACTGGTCAACCTTTGTAGGATGATTGTAGATATCAAAGCTTATTTGACCATTTTTCGGAGTGATGTCATGATTTCCCATTTGGGATTGAGTCTTTGAGATATTTTTATACAGAAGAATAAGCGGATCAATTATACATCTCATATTGGGAATAATCTCTTTGCCCCATAATTTTTTTGAGATTGAACAAAAGTGTCCACTTAGGATTATGACTTAGACCCATATTACATGAGCGGCCACAATTTCAGATATTATGCCTCATTGAATCTGGTTGACTCAATAAACACAACAATTAATTGGAAAGGAAGGAGTTTTTTTGAGGTCATCTCTTAGCAACTACAACCTTTTTTAGTACTAAAAGGAGCTCTCTTGGGATTCTGGCCAGTAGCAATGCCTTAATGATTACAACTTCAACCATTGCAAAGGAAGTAATTATCTTATGATCATAGCCCGAGTTAATCCCTCAATGATCACAATTTTAACCAATATTAAGGAAAGGAGTTTGCTTGGGATTATGGCTAGGCTAATGCCCTGGAGATCACAAACTTCTAGTGAGGACTTTGTATTCAGAACTATGGGCCCGCTGGGGCTTTCTTGTCATCATTGATGAACCATCATGTGGACTATTTTTGGCAGAGTACATTGAAATGTTTGAATGAAGATTTTTAGAGGTAATATTTGATTATAATCTTTTGATTTCATGATAAGCATATTATTATAATAGCATCTAGTGACACAAAAGTTACTAGCAACATGGTTTCTTTGTCAAAGCAAGAGTTCTTATAGCCCCTCATAGGAGTAAAATTATACTTTTGCACAAGAGCTATAAAGAAGTGAAGCAATCAATGTGGATTTAATAAAATTATGGTGTTTATACACTGGATGGAATTATTTAGTCCTCTACTCCATGCACTAGTATATCAAGAACTTCAATTATTTCTTGAATTGCTTATTGAATGAAGTGAAAATCTCATAACTCGAACTGACTCAATTAAAATTTGCTTGACCTAATGCAACATAATAAGCACTAGCGCCATGTCGTTTTAGTGTCCACCTGACCCAAGAAGATCATGATCAAATTTGTACACGCCAACTTGAAAAAAATTACAAAAGTAGCTGATCGGTATTATTTGTTGTTGAAAAAAATGATTAAAAGGAGAATCGACCTATTTAATAGATTATGCCCATGTTTTTAGTTTGAGTTGAATTGTTTCTCATTCATTTTGGACTATTTAAAGCTGACCAAATTATCCGAATCCTACACTAGTTGACCCAAACCCAAAATTTGTGTCCGATTCAAATGGGTTTTTGTGTTTTCTTGATTGGGTAAATTTTAGTTTTTGCAGTATTCAGGCATCCTTACATTGATTTTACCTTTTTTTGAATACTGACATTGGATTGTTAAATTGCACTTTGAGATTTTGATTGGAGAGCTTATCTGTGCAGTTTGGAAATATTGTTGACATTGAATTGAAGATTCCTCCGAGACCTCCAGGTTATGCTTTCATTGAGGTAAGTCTTTCTCTTGACAAATGCCAATTTTTTAATTAGGATTGCATGATGCTGATTTTCCTAGGTCTAACTATTTGGGAACCATGGTTCTAAATGGCTTATACTAAAAATATATTGGGAAATTTACGTACTTAGCACACAGTTATGTATTTACATATCAAACACCTAAACTTTCATATTGATACACATAACTCTTTGATGTTTTAAATCTATGCATGACAAGGTTTATTTGATTTTTAAAATGTGGTAATAGTGCTATTTTTTATGTGATATTAAAGATTTGAGTGTTATGCGTGTAAATATGAAAGCTTAGATGTGAGATATGTAAATACATAAGAATTGGGTGCTATGTATGTAAATGCCCCAAATATTTCAAATCCTGGAATTCACAAGTTTACTCTTGGTGTACTAAATGTACCATTTCGCTTAATATCTCTTTGAAAGTGTTTCTTTTTGACACTATTAACACGAGATATTTGAATTTTTTTCTTTCGTAGTTCGAGGATGCTCGTGATGCTGAAGATGCCATCTATGGTCGAGATGGTTATAATTTTGATGGTTACAGATTACGTGTAGGTAAATTGTTCTTAAATGATATAATGTCATTGATAATATATTTTTTTAATTTTATCCGTCATTTTGTGATGCAGGTGGAGCTTGCTCATGGCAGAAGAGGCGGCGGCTCCTCATATGATCGTTACAACAGCTTTAGTAGCGGCGGCGGTAGCGTTTCCCGTCGTTCAGATTATCAAGGTGCGGCGGATATACAAAATGTTTTTTTGCATTGCGCACATCATTGGTTTGGAATGCAATGCACTATTTATCTTTGGGGAATTTACATACGGACCACCGAATACCCATGTATTTACATATTTAACATCTAAAGTTTGCTTTTTTGAATTTATGCCAACCAAAAATTTCCTTATCACATAAAAAGTACCACTCGTTTAACTTAAGAAAGGTGATATGTTTGTAAAAATTGAATTTTTAGTGTTAGATGTAAAGACATAGGAATTGAGTGATATATATGTAGATCTTCCTTTATCTTTTAGCAATGGTGTCCATTTATCATTTTCCATTTTGTCGTGCAGTTATTGTGACTGGTTTGCCATCTTCTGCATCATGGCAAGACTTGAAGGCGAGTGCTGCTTTACAATAACGCCATGATTTTATTTTTATTTTTTAATCCTGTAAGGGTTCTTACATTTTGATGTGCATTTGTTTAGGATCACATGCGGAGAGCTGGTGATGTTTGTTTCTCTGAGGTGTACCGTGAGCGCAGAGGTTAGTGGTGCTGTGGTTTCTTATTTTAAAGATTTACGTCTTATAGGTCTTTTAGGACATATTTTATCATAGTGTAATTTTTTTTCTATACTTTGATCCCTGCATTTGACATACTTTTTTTTGTTGCATCATCCTTTTCTATTTGCCTTCTGCATATGACACTTATTCCTTCCTCTAAATGTTAGCGGAAAGGGAGCCTATGGAGCAAATAAGGAACAGGTAGCAAAAAAATAAGATAAATGAGTAATTAATAAGAAAGTTGAAGATGTGCGAAAGTGTTTCTGGCACTTGCTTCTATGTTGTTCAGTTTTGGAAGGTAGCTATCCCCTTCCTCAATAATCACTTGCGTTTTTTAAATGTTGAAATACCATGTAAGATGGATTATGCACTGGCAAGAGACCTTATTTCTGTGATTGTAAGGTTCAACAACATGAGCTAATGCTACAAGTCGTGCACAATGTTTGCCACTTCAAGATGGATTCACGGTTATAGTTTGCACTTTTTTGTAATAGATGGAGCAGTTTTTTATTTTTTATTTTTTGTGGTAGAAAAAGTAGCAAATAAAAAATAGTGGCTGCTTGGATGACAAAACTTCTGCAATTTTTCTCAGTTTTTCCTAAAATTTGCTTTAGAAAAGCTGTTTTTTGGTTAATTATGAAGTAACTTTTAAAAATTTTGAACAAAAAAAGGAAAAAAAAAACTACCTAAGAAAATTCTTGATACTCTTTATTGTAATTTGAACTATTTTTATGTTAATTTTGTCAGATCTTCCTTTTATCATGATTCAGATATGTTTGTACGTTATAATAAACTGGTCTTACATTCTTTTGCTTTATACTATCTAAATACTGGGGTTGTGGAAGCCACTTTAACTAAGTAGTAGTAGAGAAATATACTTGGATAGTTACTTCTTCAATTTATCATTATAGCCAAAATGAATTATCTATTGAGTTTTTGATAGTTATGAGGGATATTACAGTAGTTTGGTTAATAATTATTTTAATAGAAAGTTGAGGGTTAAGAAGATACCAAATGATTGGAGAGGCACCATTTGCTATCAATATTTAGGAACCAAGGGGATATTCAAGATTATGTTAATTTTGGAAGAATCAACTCATGTCACTCAGTGAGAGATTAATGAAATATAGACCTAGAAAAATTTCTGTTTTGGAGAATCAATTTGATTTCATGATTGGAAGATCTACTATGAAAGTGATTGTTGTATTAAGATAATTAATGATGAAGTATGGAGAGCAAATAAAAAAAATTTCTATTATTTTTACTATCCTTAAAAAGGCATATGATTTGGTGCACATTAGGATGTAAAGGCTTTTGTCTTAGGCATGTTGATGCCATTTAAATTTTGTATAATAGGGCATTGACATAATTTTGGAATCCTGAATTAAAAATAAGGATGAAATTCATATTAGTTTTAGATGAAGCAAACTTATGAGCCATGCATTAAAACGATGGAGAGAGTAATGATTCATTGAATTAGAAAAACTATGCTACTTTTTGAGAACTTATTTATTTTTATTCAAGGAAGACTTATCATAGAAGCAATTTTTATGCTAAGATAATTGACAGTGAAGCATAGTGAGCAAGCAAAGAACCTTCACATTTTCTTATTGATCTCGAGTCTACATATGATTGAGCACCATGAGAATTAATTTGGTGCACGTTGAGATAAATAGTTGTTTTTTAAAGGTATATGAATACTGTTGATAATATGTATGATTGAGAATTTATTAGCACTAAAAGTAGTATTATAATAAGAGCTTATAATAAGAGCTTTCAATTTTACTAAGTTTAGTTCAAAAACCAAAATTGAGTGCATATCTTTTCATATTGGTGGATACTTTATGGGAAGTGTTTTGGTGCATGATTTTTATAAATAATATAGTTATAATTGGGCATGCATGCATTGAAATAGGTGAAAATTCAAATGAGTTGAGGAAATATTTAGAAGATAACCGACTTAGAATTAGAAGAACAAAAACTGAGTATTTTTTATGTGATCCTAGTGGATATAATATTAAAAATTATGATTCAATATTATTGGAAGATAAGGCAGTGCTTTTGTGTGATAATTTTAATAATTTTTTATATGATTTACAAAAGAATGTAAATGTCTGTGAAAATATAACTTGAGACTGAATGGTTAAAATAGAAAGTGTTGTAGGAGTTCTGTGTTATAAAATGATATCTTGGAGATTTAAAGATAATTTTCTTATAAAATTGAAATTAGACCTATAATGTTTTATTGATCTGAATGTTTATCAATTCAGATCATTAACATCCAGGTTGAGTGTGGCATAGATGAGAATATTAAGATGGCCGCGTGGCAAAATTATGAAGGTTAAAATAAGTAATTATTATATTGGAAGAACACTTAGAGTGATATCTATTAAAGATAGTCTAATTGAAAATACATTTATAGGATTAAGAAGAAGTGGTTGGCCTAAGATTACATGCGTAGGGGTTTCTTAAGAATTCAATGCTCAAACAACATTTTGCGGGAATGAATGAAAAATCAAGATTCATAAAGCCTTCCTCAGATAGTATAATGTTAATGATGGTTATGTTATTTACATGAATTTTGCTCACATGCCATAATGTTTTATGGATTAGTTTGCTTTATGTACAAATTGCTTATTTACTCTATAATTATTCATAATTCTAATTCGCCTTTCGTTTTCATGGTGTAAATTTTAGCTTTAAGTTGGAAGCATGACCGTTTTTTGGATTTTGATACGGGTTCTCTTCACCTAAAATGTTTATCCTTGTAGAGCACACTAAAAAAAGGTTAAATTCTTACTGATTATTTCTTATTTGTTTACCTGAATATTTGCAGGAACCATTGGAATTGTGGATTATACAAACTATGATGATATGAAATATGCTGTAATCTATTTTCTTTCCATCCAGGCTATAGATTTGTATTTTCTGCATCTTTAATCATTGATTTTGATATGAATGTTCTTGGGCATTGATCTGCAGATAAGGAAACTTGATGATTCCGAGTTCCGAAATGCATTTTCACGGGCTTTTATTAGGGTAAATAATTTACAACTTTCTAGTTTACTTTGTCATTTCAGGCGATTAATTACATAGAGATGAATAATGCATTTTTTTCCTGTGATTTTATCATAGGTGAGAGAATATGATCCGAAATATGATTCTAGGAGAAGCTATTCTAGGAGCCGGAGCCGGAGCCCAGCCTCATCCAGGAGCCGCAGTGGTAGTCGCAGCTATAGCCCAAGGAGGTACCTAAGCTGAAAATCTTGCCATTCTGTGTTTGTATTTTAGTCTGGTTCATTGAAAATTTTGATTCTGATATTAGTCTGTTGCACAGTCCAAAGGGCAGGTCTTCACGCCGTTCATTGTCTAGATCTCGATCAAAATCTGTTTCCTCTCGTTCCCGTTCCCGTTCAGTTTCTGCAAAAAAGTCTTTATCTAGGTATGCATTTATCTTAAAATTCTCTTTTTGTGGAACTTCTAATTTTTATTTATTAATTATAAATATTAAGCTTTATATACTAGTGGAGGTAGTTGGGAGTTTCATGTGGTTTTGTGTTATTAGCTTATATAAATTGCTCATTATTTTGTGTTTTATTCTCATTTATTGCTTTGTTTGTGAGATCACATTGATTTTTTTTTTTTAATTTCTTGTGTCTTTCTTGAGCAAGCTTCTCATTTTAAACCTGCTGATGCTAAAAATAAAGATAAAAATAATAAGAAAAATCTGTTGATGATGATTAAGTTGCTATGTTGCCGTTACTTTATTTTCTGCCTTCCCATATCTTTCTTAGAATTTTCGTTTGCTATCTGATCTAATGCCTGGAATACATATTGCATGCTAAAATAGAAGTACTACTATTGTTCCTAAAATAAATTCAACCACTATTACTTAAGGAAAGGTCATTATGACAAATGAAATAACAAATTCATATATGTTGTTTTGAGATTAACTTGTTTGGAGGCAGAGGATCTGATTGGCAGTTTTTATTTTATTTTATTTTGGCAACGGTAGATTGCATTTGGATACTTAAGATATGAGTTCTTGTTTTTCTCGAGTTTCATATTTAAATAAAACTTATCTGAGGTCTCTTTTGATTTTTAGATTAACCTGAGGTGGGTATCTAAACGAAAGTTTTTTTTGGCATTTTGGAGGACGTGAAGTGTTTCAAAACGAACCAACATAAAATGATATCTTTCCTCTTGATCAAATGGTGGTGAGGGATGGGGGCGACAGTGAAAATCAAACAAAAACATGTTAAAGAATAAGGAACAATGTAGAAGCGTTTGGCCATGCTTCAGTGGTTGCATGGGCTGAAGCAGGACGTCTTAGATTTAGATGATAAAATAAAATTTCAACTACAAGCTTATTACAAACACCATTTATTAGAAATCAGTACCTATAGTTTAATAAATGGGATAACGTCTAAATTCCTGGTTCTTGTATACATCTAATAACTGCAAACTTTATCAATAATCTAAATCTGTTAACGAATAATTCCTCAGTACTTGTATTGTATTAATGAGGAGATTGAGCACATAGCAACTTAGTAGGAGATATTCTGCTAGGATCACGAGAATATAAGAAAAGCTGCACAATTTGTGTGATTTTGAATGGGCGTAAACGAGCCGAGCTTGAATGAGCCCAATTTTTGTTCGTGTTCAACTTATTTGATTTTTTTTGTTCGTGTTCAACTTATTTGATTTTTTTTTTTTTTGCTCGAAAAAGGCTCATATTCCAAATAGGTCGTGAATAGAACATTTGTGCTCAGCTTGATTCAAATTCTTTTGTTTATTTTAGTTTGTGTTTGGCTTGAAAATAAGATTGAATGATTTAAAAAAAATAAGAATTAATATTTTCTTAATAGAACATAAAAAAATCCATATAGAAATTTAATAATAATAATATTTATTAATTATTTAATTAATTCAAGTCTAACCAAACAAAAGTTTGTGCAAGTTATTTAGTGAGCCAAACACTAGATGTTCGAACGATGAGCTTTTTTAATGACCCTAATTATAATTTAACATAATGCACTTCCAGACATGAATTGTGCTCATGTTTAATATTGCCATATCATGAAGTATGTCAATTAATTAGCGAATCAATCAAATAATCATTGAGAGGACTGTTACTCTGAGGATCATGAAGCTCCGCATGAGCTCACGAGAATTTTATTCGCATACGCACTCCTTTCAATAGTAGTAATACCATCTTCCGAAATGGATACTCCTAGCCATGAAGAAATATGGTTTGTCGCTCTCGGGAAATCAACTATAATAGAGCTGGGGCGAACATGCATGCTGCCAACCCTCAACGTGAAATATTCACAAAAGACAACCTTCCCTGGTATGAATTGGAATAGTGTTACCCATACTGCAATTTTATTTCCCATACACTTTTCTATACTATGTAAAGTTGCACATTGTTTGGTGCAATAAGGTATAAAATTTGAAGGATATGGACCTAGATAAACAAACTGCACCCAATTTTTATTTATCGAGGTCTAGAGAGATGCAAAGTAATTATGATAATGATATATGGATAGATAGAGCATGCTTGAAATTCGAACTAAATTTCTTGCAGAAACGAGTCCTAGCAAAACTCTGAATGTATAACCTAACAATTATGAAATTGTGTGGATACCATGATACATTTTTTTATGTGAATAAACCTTATCCATCTTCCCATTCTTTCTTGTGTTATATTAGTTAAGCGACCATCACAAAGTTTTGTCTATGCCACCTCTCAAGCTAATATCAGATTTATTTGCATTGTGACTTTATCCTTGTGACACTCACTTTGTCAACCTCCTGACCATCATTGACATAGTTGCATATCACTTGATATCACATCTCCATCTTTTTATATCTATATATCTCTCCCATTTCTCGTTGCTAACCTACCTCCAATTAGCATAAACTTAGGTCTTTGTTGATGGCCGCAATTATTCCACCAGAGGGATTTTTTGCATGTTTCAACAAGGTTTCTAGCAAATCTAAAAAAGAATTATAATGCTGCAATTAATTAATTAATATGCTTTTTCGGGCTTCTCCTTCTTCCATCGGCAACGGTCTTGAAAAAATAATAAGAAATGGAAATCATATTTCTTCATGGCGATCATGCATTAAAATTTATGTTAGCCTATAGGGAATGATACATACCTAACAAATTGTTTGTTGTAATGTTGCAAATCATATGCAAGTTAAAAAGAATGGAAATCGCATGCGATGAAACAAGGAATGAGAAGGCTAGTTGACGGACTAAAAGATGGAAAGGAATAGAATGGCCGGCGAACCTCAGCTACAATTTTATGAAGGAATAAATTGTGGTTATGTTGGAGTGTTTGATGTAGTTGGTTTGCTAATCTTATAGATATTGATATCGCAACTTCAACTTAGGCCCTGCATTTCCAAGTTGATTTGGTTGAGACCTCGAGTCTGAAAATTTTAGTTGGCCTAATTTTTGTGCTTCTTCTTCTTTTTCCCCTTTTTTTGTGATTTCATGCACGAGTCTATGAAATATTTGAAATTATTTACTTAATTGATTGGGTTTTTTTTTCATAATTTTCGTATCATTTTCTTTAAAAGCAACACAGCTGTGCTCCAGATCTCCGGGCTCCCGTTTTTTCAACTTATATCGTTGTAAAGTTGCCTTTTTTTATAGATTGGGCTTAAGCGGCGTTCTGGGGACTGGATATTAGGAAACATGATGGGATTTGGTGCAAAATGCGTTTTAAGGTATGCTGTTTGATAAACGAGCAGCTCTGAAGCTCCAAAAAGCATAATAATTTTTCTATATTATGACGACTTATAGCTCTTATTGTTGAAGCGATATACGGAAAATTATCTACAGAACTGTTGTGAAAAAAAATCGAATTTTGTATAGTGCAAAATCTCATTTTCACTATAAAAATATCTTAAAAAAACATCAAATAAGCTATTGTCAAATGGTAAAATGTGTCAGCTTAGAGAACTTCTCAATTGGACCTTCAATAGAGTTTCGGATACAGCTAATGATTTCCACGACCAATCTTCTATAGCATCATCAATTGCCTCACTGGCCTTTTATTGTTGCGAATAACTCCCTAATTATTTTATGCCTCAATCTTAATTTTCTTTTATTATTGCATATCTACCGCCGAACATCTGAGGTTGCAAACATACTTTTTATATGCAAAATATCATTGTTTCTGTAATTCCTTGCAGATCTAGTTCAAAATCAGAATCCTTGCCGGCTTCTGTAAGATTAACTTTTTCTCCTCAATTTTGCTGCACCCTAAATGCTGTTTTAGCTCCTTTGCATCTCATGTCTTTCTTCATGCGTGCATTGTGCAGCCACGAATTAAGCGAACGAAGCGCGGCAGGAGCTCGTCCCAGTCTCGTTCAATCGATACTTAAACAAATGGTCTTCCTTTTAATCTCATTGTTTTTAAGGAAGTTTTACATGCATAGCTCTCTCAATTCCCATGTATTTACATATCTAACACCAAACCTTCAATTTTTACATACATACCCCCTTACTCATGCATATGAAAGAGTTGGGTGGTATAAATTTGAAAAGCAAAATTTAGGTTTTAGATATATAAATACATAGAAATACATTTTTGGACTGATAAATCTGTCACATTTTGCAGGCGTACTCCGATCACAGCAGTTGAGTCGGCTCGTCGGTAATTGGCATGTTTTCATGAATAAAGTATTTTTCTGTTTGCCGGCAAGCTTTAACCTTTACAAAGATCTGACACTTTCTACAAACAATAGCATAAGTTTGTTTGATTTGCAAATTGATGTTTTAGGTATTTAAATCTTTTGGTGAATACTAGATCTGTTTTTTGAACTTTCTGATTTTCTCGAGCTATACATTAAGCTACCGTATACTTTGCCTCTCTGTTAAATTTGCTCTGTTTTCATTACAGAAACACATTCTCTGTTCATCTTTTATTCTGTTGGTATCATTTTTAGAATATTACATACATGCCACAGATTCTTATAAAGTAGCATCTTCATATCTACATTTATAAATCTTCAGTGTCATAAACCGATGCTCTCAGCGGTATTTTTGATGTGGGATTAAATGTGTTCGAAATCGGCTCGGGAACAGCGTATTTGCGCTGTGCTTGATTTACATATTCGTGTTTGTGTTCATTTCAAATTGGCTTGTTTGAATTAGCTAGAATAGATGGAGAATGTTGGATTTAAAGCTGCACCATTCTGGCATCATTTTTATGCAATAAAAGGCACAAAATGTCTTTTCACCATAGCAGTGTGGTGATTTAAAGTTAGATATAAATAGTCATATTATATTATTACATAAATAATATGTAATGTCTTTATGTCAAGCTTAAAAGTTTGTTTGTGCTCGACTTGCTTAATGAATGATTCAACCACAAGCTAGTTAACAAGCCTGACACTAGCAGTTCGCGAACGACGAGTTTTTTTTTTTACTGCCCTAGTAATGTTTGTGTAAATATGAATATGTAGATACATATAAGAATTGTGGTATTTTGGTAAATTTATATACATGCCGCACCATACTTATAAATTAATATATGACACTTGGAACTTTCATATTTATATTTATAATATTTTGGTGACATAAATCTAAGAATGAATATATATAGTAAACTTTTAAAAAGCATGTAATGGTGATATTTTTGATTTAGTATTAAAGATTTGAGAAGTTTGAATGTAAATATGAATGTACAAGTGTTAGATATGTAAATACACGAGAATTGTGGTGTATATTTGTAAATACTAATTTATTTTTCATCTAGTTTTATTTTTATTTTTTATATAAATGCATAAAATTAAGCCTAGCCTCTTAATGTAGCAGGCTCTTGAAAAAAATTCAACTAGACCAAAACTTAGGGGAAAGCTTTCAAATACCTCAAAATCAATTCTTATGTATTTAAATGTATAACACTTATGCTTCAATTTTTAAATAGTGGTGTTTTTATATGTTATACTAAAGTTTTGGGTGGCATAAATGTAAATAATAAAGTTTAGGTGTTATATATGTAAATAAATTGAAATGGGGTGGTATTAATGTAAATGCCCATAAAGTTTAATTTGAATGGAGTGCGAAACTACAAAGAGTACATCCTAAAGTGACTTCCCAAAGATACCAATGAAGCCATATATTAATATAAATATTTTTATGCACTTAGTGTCTACTTGCTAATCACGTCCTTTGAAGTGATAGCTACAAAGATTACTTCTCAAGAGAACCTGGCGAGCTCCTCCACCTAGCTCGCTTGTACTCATCAAGATCTTTTGACGAGTTTGTCTGCATTTATCAAGCTTCACTGCCACTTTCATTTATCGATGTTTGAAGGTTATCAGAACGACCCTACTTTAAATCATTATCGTCTATGCCTATTTATGAGTTGCTTGACAACCCTAATGATATCTTTTCAATAATAAATCTCAAATAGACTCTCTAGGTTACGTCCTATAATATAATATTTCTATATTTATTATTATTATTTTTAGCCCAATGAGGGTAAGGTGGTCCATACTAGCTAACGAGAGTGGCATGAAGAAAAAGAGAAGGGGCATTAGGATTAACACGAGCAAGCTAAAGCTCTATCCCTTTCCACCTTCTGCTCATCTCACAAGATCTTCTGAATTTTATGAATTTGCAAAACATATAAGGACCTTACGTCCTAAAAGAATTCAACATGAGAGCATAATTTAAATGAAATAAACTATAACAAATTTTTTATGAAAATTAAAATTTACTTGAATAGTTGTATGTAGTTAAATGAAAAAATATTATATCAAGAGTCTTGATGCAGTCCAATCACAATGCACCACGTGTACAACCCGATTCTGTCATGTATTAAACTATTTAGTTATTTGTATTATGTGGGGTCAAATCATACACGTGGCATATTATGATTGGACTGAATCAGGACTCCTGATGTAATATTTTTTTCTAAATGGGGTTTCATGGAATAGGTTTGACTTTCGAGTAAGCGAGTTGAATTTGGGTTGGATTCGTGTTGCTAACTTATTTAATGTTTCGAACAAGTCAATTTCGGGTCCGTCTCAACCCCACTTGCAAACCCAATTTCACACTCTCATGTCACTCAGTTCTTATATATTTACATATCTAACCCTTAATTTTTTTTCATTTTACATTTAAATATATCCGACCCTGGTGCGGCGCAGTGAAAGCCTTTTTCTGTACAATTTAGGGCGGGGAGGGGTAATGGCGGTGGAGGTGCTCTCCATGTACAGAGCGCTTCTTAGGGCGACACGGAAGACTTTCGACGGCGATAAGCTGATGCTAAGCCAGTCGGCGGCGGAGATCCGGCGAAGATTTGAGGAGAATCGCGCCGTCTCGTCGGAGGCGGAGGTGAAGAGGCTCGTCGACGAGGCGCGAGATGCCTCCCACTTCATCACCCACATGATCGTCCAGGCCAAGCGAAGCTCTAGTGGCGGTTTTGGTATTTAATCTCTAACCTTATCAACGCCCTCTCTTGTTACTGTATCATCACTATCTCGGGTAATATTGTGTTCCGAATTAGGTAGTGTTGGTTGATTCTTGGGTACGATGCGGGACGGAAGAAGAATCTGAGGGTAGAACTGCGGATTTGTTTATAGAATAACTGAATTTGAATCTAGTCAACCACGGACGTGTTATGAAAAAGTAACAATTGGTGCTATTTTTGATTTGATGTGAAAGAATTGGGTGCTGTATGCATGTAAAAATGAAAATTTTGGTGTGAGATATGTAAATCCATATGATTTGAGTGCCATGTTTTTTATTTTTTAGGGCAGGATGAGAACTCGAATATGACACTTTTGGATTTTGCGCGTTGCATATTCAAGCATGGCTGGACATTTTTGAAGTGATAAATATTTGGTTTAAATTCCAACTAAAACATTTGGACAATCATTGTCTTCTACACTTGAAGTCTTTCAGTCTCATATTTGGTTGGAAGCAACGCTGAGTGCTGAGTTGGTGTTGGTATGTTAATCACTAAGTGAGCTCGTGAAGTGTTTTTATGGAGATATTGGTAGTTGGAGCTTATTGAGATTGGGCTTCCTTTCGTCTAGAGTGCATGGTGAAGACTTTCCCTTGAAACTATCTTTTTTGCCCTCCAATTTGTTGTGTTATACTTTTTTGAAAATTTTGTGACCATTTTTTGTTTGGAAGTTTCACATACATACCACTCAATTCCTATCATATCTAACACCCAAATTTTCATTTTTACATACATCCACCTTGCCCATGAATGGCTGAATTTGAATCTGTCTGGGAGTCACACCCAAGTAATACAACGTGAAATAGGGGGGAGAGGAGAGGGAAGGAGGGAGAGAGAGAGAGCACGATAATGAACAAGAATCGCACCAAGGAATAGAGTATAGAACATGAGAGAGACAAACATAGAGAAACAATGCATAGTAATGAATTTATTCATGAAATCACCCTCGATTTATAGACAAAGGAGGTGTAATAAATGATATTACATTTATGCCCCTACTTAAGTGGGGACTCTACAGGTTTTTATTTCATTTTTGTGGGCCTAGAGCCTTGTTCCTTTTTGATAGGACTTCGTCGAACTTTGTCGATCGACTGGATCAGGTAGGCGTTGCCAGTTGGTTGTGTTATTGAAGTCAGTTGGGTAGCAAGTGACTCGGTTTAGGTTGTTGGAAGGTTAGATCCATAGATGTTGTTGGTCGCCCTGTCTTTTATTAGTCTAGAGTCGGTAGAATTGATCGACTAAGTCTTGCTGATCGGTTGGCATAATGTCTGTCGTCCCTTGACTCTCGTCAAAGAACTTTTATCGGCAGACCGAAGCTCGGTTATTGGACAGAGGGTGAATCATTGTAATACGACAGATAGTCTACCCTTAAACGAAGAGATCTTTGGTGAAGGCTGTTGTTCGTCCTCAGTGTATCCATAAGGTCTTGGAATTGGCCCTTTCTTTGGGCTTGATTGCATTAAAGTATTATGTTCGGGTGATCATTTATCTTATATTGGGTGAGTCGCTCGGCTTGTACCACATACTCATTTTTATCTTGTTGAACGTCTGGGTCTCCCAAATCTTTTGCTAGCCAGTGAGTCCACCCTTTAATATTCTTTTTTTGTCTCCTGGACCGTCAGATCTTCTCAAGATTTGTGCTGACATAATTTCTGTTTACAACATGAAAATGTGTATTTCACTTTTAAAAGTTAAAGTAGTTGTATTTTTTAAAGTGATATGAAAGATTTGGGTGATATAAATGTAAAAAGCAAAATTTTGGTAACATATGAATTGAGTGGTATGTATGTAAATGCCTCCTTTTGTTTTTGCATGTAAATTAGATAATAGAAAGAAAATATTGCTTCATCAAGATATAAAATATTTATGTAAAAAAAAAAAAAAATTAACCATAGTGAAGGAGAAACAAGCCTGATTAGAAGGTAGACCAAAGAATGTGCCCATTGCGCAAGATTTGTCATAGTTGTTGCCACCAAGGTAACTCGAGGCTCTTTCTTTGCTTACATCACAGGACTTGGTATTCTTTTTGGGGTATTTGAATACATACCACCCAATTCTTATGTATTTACGTATATAACATCTAGAATTTACTTTTTTTACATTTATGCTCCTCCAATATTTCATGTCACATCAAAATTATCACTAATTTAACTTTTAAAAAGTGAAGAACACCTTTTCATGCATTGGTAAGGTGAAGTATATGTAAAAATTGAAGTTTATGTGTTAGAAATTAAGTGATATGTATGTATACCTTCCATTCTTTTTACTTTTATAGCTTATGGCTACTAGTTATACCATACAAGTCTCATGTGCTTGCATATCCAACTCCTAAACATTCATATTTATATGCATGCCATTCAAATCATCATAACCATCGTTTTAAGGTGCTGTATTGTAATGTATTCAACTTAAATGTTGCACGACATAAAAAATGATGTTTTTAATCTAGGATTTAGTAAATCAAGCTACTCCTCAATTCTGTCACAGTTGTGTCTTAAACCTCAGATTTATAGGATTTTTACTAGAGCTGTTAAAGCTATTACCTTATATCTCCTAAAATCCTAAAAGTGAGATACATATTTTCATGCATAGGTTTATGACACCAAAATATTGTAATAATAAATATTGAATTTTGGATGTTAGATTTGTAAATACTTTCTTTTTCATGTACTGATCGTTAATCATTTTAGCTGCTTGAGATTTTCCATTATTGTCCCTATTTCATATCAAAATGTAACTGTAATTTTGTAAAATTACAAATTTATCTCAAGCAGTTACATGTCGTTCAGTATTTTCATCCTTAAATTAACCTCCTTGTAATATGCCAATATGTCACATGTTATCTTATTTTATCTTGTAATATGTCATTATGTTACATCTTCCATTGCATTTGTTTTTTTTTATTTTCAAAGTCGCTACAATTTCGTTAAATATGAAATTATTCTTTTAATAATTTTTGTAATGCCTTTATCTATTATAAATATACCGCCCACCCTCTTTCATCCATGTTATTTTGACCCCCAATTAATGAACTAAGGTAAAAGGGCAATTTTGTAATGTGGCACCGTCACCTACCACATCTCACCTACAGCTCACCTACCGGCCACCTACCGGCCACCTCCCCCCCACCTACCTCCCACCTACCACCCACCTACCGCCCACCTACCACT